AGAACAAATATTACTGAGCCCACTGCAGAAAATTGCAGAAGAGCATTTAATAGCATATGATGCGCATCCCTCCAGGATTTCGCAGGCCTTTTTTGTGATTGTTGCGGTCTGAAATGCCTGATTTTGCAGCAGCTTTTCTAACCCTAACCTTGCATATTTAAACCAGCTTACCTTGATTTTTTCAGTGCTTGCAGCTGACCGGGATGAAACAGCCTGGGTTACAGTGATTTGACTTGTCTGACGTCCTCCATACATTTCTGCCATTCCCCGCGTATGTTTTGCGGTTGCAAAATGTTTGTCAGTTGACGATTTCCTTTTATGTTCAACCACAATACCCTCGCTTAGAAACTCGCCTATCTCTGTGAATTCACCCCTGAGGGTATAAGTAGGGTATTGATGTGATGCAACAGTGACCGAACTGCCAGACAAAGCCACATTGAAGAGTGAAGGGAGGCATGGTCAAGCCATGGTTTTAGACCATCTCTAATCAATGTTGCTCAAGATGAGACCGGGTGGAGACAGATGAAATGTATTTCATGTATTTTTTCATTTGTTCATCTGAACAGATGAGTTTTGATGAACAGATGATGTGCAGAGTTTCTGCTGTCGTGAAGCCAGTGGAGATTGGGGTGTATGGTTTGACCTTGTCCTGGCTGTAGGATGGGCCTGAGATATTTGTAGCATGGTAGGAAAGCACCAGTGTCTTGAATCAGATTTGAGCAGCGTCTGGTGGAGTGGTGTAGTGTGGGAGAACAGTAGTGAGGCTACAATTGCATGCTAGTGCTAAAACATAAGATTCAAAAAAACATTTCCCCATAGTAACCCTGGTGGTTAAGTACCTTAAAGGATGACTAGGTGGTCTAGTCTGAGTTGTCTACCTCTACTCTACTCTCTGATACAATTCATTATGATTTTATTGCAGAATTGATACATACTGGTTAGTATAGTTGTAGTCATTACATTACATCATAAACAAATCTTACCTATAATAATACATCATACTCTTGATTATATTTAGTATTATTAATCTGAATTGGCAAAGTAACTAATAACTAAAGTTATCACCTAAATGTAGAAGAGTAAAAATACAATATTTCCATCTGAAATGTAGTGGAGTAGAAAAATTGTATTTAATTAGTGCACTTGGGTAAGTGCACTTAGTAACTTGCCACCACTGCCGCCACCAATAAAAGAAAATGATGATAAAACATGAAACTGTCAAAAATAATTAATTTAGATTCAGGTTCAGTCCATTAGTATTCAAACCTCCTCTATGTTCAAACCTTCTTGTACACTCTCTCAGTACTGTGTTTGTCTGGCTAATACACACCAGAGGAAATAAACTCATAAGTGCTTAAACTGTTGAATTCATTGGGAGGAGGTTGCTGAGTGGACCCAGATTAACAGAAATGAACAGTCATAGCATCACAATGCAAATCCAGACGTGCATCTTTGTAGCACAGCCTCTTCAATGGAATGCTTGCATGAAACAAAGCAAATTACAGTTAAACAGCTACATGTCTCAAATTTCTACTTGCTGGGCCACATCAAGAAACATAAGGAATAAATGATGTTTGGTTTGGGGTTTTACATTTCAATTTAGCCCCAGGCCTGGAAGCCATTAAGGCCTAATCTGAATCCTGGTCAGTGCTTGCTCCCTGGAGCAGAAAGTATGGTTTTATTAGCATCAAATCATACACATTATTGAGAATGCGCACACGCACACACGCACGCGCGCACACACGCACACACTGGCATAGACCCAGCCCACGTCCAATAATGGCAAAACAGCATCTCATTACTGGCCATTAGATTTGTATTACTTTCATTTGAACTGGCAATACATCTCGTATTCATAAATGGAACAGTCACAACATAGAATAGTGACACAGCTGCATGATGGTAGCTGAGAGACAAGGCCAGGAACAAATGATTCATAAAATGAAACAGTTTGAAAATGTCCTTTATGATATGGGGCAGAATGTCCGTAATTACTTACAAAATGTAACATCCACTAATGTGCTGACAGGTATGACTACTGTGGGTAATTAAGCACATAAATACATCAGGGTTTTGACTGAATATTATCCAGTTTTTTATTGGAGCCAAAATGTAAATGTATGTGTGTATGAGTGAGAGAGAGGGAGGAAATAGAAAAGAGGGCAAAGAGAGTAAAACCTCCTCCATCTCTTTGGCACAACGTCCATACTGAGTATCTCTTACTGATGGACACAGCACATTAACTGGCTCATTATCAGCCTCCCACCATATGGACTCGGGCCGGGGTGGGTCAGAGCCGCGGCCGCCCTGATGCTCGCCCCCCTAATTAGGACAATTATGCCATCTCCATCACGAGGGCCAGTTACACAAAATGGTGTCACGCCCTCGCTGAGATTGGTGTCACCGAGCCCAGACTATGAGAGGCGGGGAGAGGAAACAGCAGTGTCGTTTGGCAGACACTGCCGAGCTCACAGAGCAATTACCCCGGGTGAGAGGTGGTGGAGTCAGAGGAGGGGGGAAAGAGTGGAGAGAGCAAGAGAGGTAGAGAGCAAGTGAAAAGAGAGAAGACAGCAGATAGAAAATGGTAAAGAGATGGAGGGAGGTGAGGGTTAAAACTGGGACCACAGTGAGAGGTTACAGTATCAATGAAGTTAACATTGGTGACTTTTGGATCGATTGGGTGTGAGGCTGTACAGTGGTATCCTCCTGGACAAGGACAATGACTTAATTCCGTCATTTAACCTCTATTGGTGCCATGGAATATAAGAGCCTCTTTTACTGGAGAACTGGTTAAAGGAATAGTTCAACAGTTTTGGAAAACGCGCTGCAAGGGCAAAACAGCTCGACTTGCTCGTGTGCATACACATATCCTGGGCTGCTAACATCAACACGCGTATGAATATTTAGAATAACAACAGTAACAGTAAAAAAAGTAAGTACTAACTGTGCTTCACTCTGGCCAGCGGGGGGGCTCTTCATTTTTTACTCCAATTTTAGTCTCTATGAATCCAAAAGTCCTTAATCCTAAATTTCCCACAATGCAAGAACTTGCATCTTTGCATTAGATCCACCCAGCCTGGTAAATGCCCACGGCTTCCAAACTGGACACCTCCAGTTTGTAACACAGGGCTTGTGTTATACATGTGTAGTGTCGCAGCCCAAGCTGAAAAGAATCAGGGCGTCAGAGTGATTTTTTTCAGATTAGACACAGCTTCCTCCAGAGGCACCGAAGACAAGTAAACTGACCGTCACATGTAATATCACTTGAGGGCCCCTTTAAGTACTTACTTCATAGATAGAACAGTTATCAATTGGAAAAATAAGGAACAGGTTCACATGGCCAGTAAGTTCAATCTATCCATAGATTTGTTTCCTGGGAAGACAAAACAGTATAAAACTCCATACGGACACCTTGCAGGGCCCCATTACATGTAAATGAAAAATGTGTTACAGTAACATCACGCTGAGTTGATGATGTCGATAGTTGTGAAAAGGACTATGCAATTAAAAGCTTTCCTGAGCCAATTACATATATGCTCAGTTAATAGCAGGGATTCAGATACACCATAGGCTCTATAGCACCACATTCATTGTAAGTGCTGTTCAATTGATCGTTAGACAAACAGCGCACATGACTTCGAGCTCATCTTCAATCCAAAGCAGACCCAGTTTTCCAACAGTTTGCCTTATGACTACCTGATGTTCAACCAGTGATGTTTTGTTTTCTTCCTTTCATAGCAGAATCCTTGAGTCTTAAATTAGGCCCTGAGGGTGCCTGTGGATCAATAGGCTCACTGCAGGTGCACCCCGACAGGAGCAACAAGGAAAGGCATTTTCCCTCTCCTTTCATTGGAATAAAACAAGCTTGATTGGGAGCGATGAGTGGAGAGAAATGTGTGAGTTCCTGTCCACCACTGGTTCCAGTCTTACACTTGTTCATGCAGCCTGTTCATTAGCCAGGCAGGTATTGACCACGTTGTATAGCAAAACGGAGATCAAGCTGGGTTACAACAGGGACGCTTGAATTCCTGAAAACAAACTGTTATTGATTTGTGTAAGTAAGTTGAATAAGGAGTATACAAGAGGCTGCTTTGAAGGCCCAATCCCATGTCAGAATCCAGCACCACCTCTGCTTCCATCTTACTGCCTGTTGCTGCTAACACCGGCTGCCCTTATTGATTACTATTTAGTATCCATGCATAGGTGGAGTCTACTTTTGTACTGAGTGTAACAAGGTTGAACTGGGATCTGTGTGAAACTGGTTTATGGATGAACCCTCAGGTTCAGTCACGCTGGAGGCTGACTGTGTTTTTTACAAGGCTGATACATAGGAGGATATCTTTATTGTTTTCACCGCGTGTGTGTGTTTGTGTGTCGTCATGGCAAAATTCAGTCCTGGAGACACCTACTGTAGCAGGAACTACAACCGAAGTGTTTTTTTTTTTTTTACTACTTTGGAGTTAAGTCACAGAATTAGCTTTGTCAAGATGAAAAAAACAGTCAATATTCATGTTCTTGTCAAACAACTGATTGTTTATTGCCAATAATGAGACATCCTACATTCACAACTAACCATGTTTAATGTTGGACAGTCCATCAAATGATGGATATGTCAAAACTAACATACAAGGTTAATTTGGGGGCGCATTGGTGGGAAGTTCATTATGTTGGATTGCTGCTACACACCTCTACAGCTATAGACCACAGACCTCACTCCTTTTGGCTAGCTGTAGCGATGACCCCATAGCCTGTACTGATGTTGACTGTATGCATGTTTGCTGCAATTTTTTTCCTTGCCTGGGCGCTCACAGCTTGCATCCAATCACAAGGACACGTGCAACAAGTACTAGCCAATCACAGCACAGTAAGGCGGGACTTGTCGAAAATCTGTCAGAAATATAAAGAGAACGCTACCCTATGTGCTCCTCAGCTGCATCTTCTAAATATGGTGGGAAGGAGAGACATATTTTGGTGTGTAGTTGCCATAAAACTGTGGTAGTTACACTTTAAATGTACGGGTCTACTGCTTATAGCTATTGGGTTGTTGAGAAACGTTTCCCTGCACGCCATTGGCTGTGCGGCGTGGCAGAAGGGACAACTTTCAGGAAGTGAGGAAAAGGGTTTGTATGTTTCGCACCGGGACAGTGAGAAACATGTTATGGAAGAAGGCTAAACATTTTAGGAAGAATTCGCTATTAAGTATTAGGTATTAATTACTACAGCTTATTGGTTTGTTTGTAGACAAAAAGCTCAATTGACGACGTAACCTACGGCTTGGATTCCCTTCGGATGCAGGTAACGTTACATGACGTTACTTTATCATGAGTCATTAAAGAGCTTCAGTCTTACTAGCTAAGTTCCTCAACTGTCGCCTGTCCGTTAACTGTCAACGGCAATGTGTTTAACGGTCTGAAGTTGTTTTACTTTACTTTAAGTGTCCTGCTATTTCACTTGTCATTCGTGTGTTTTATGTAACTAACCATAACAAACGACTTATCTGAAAGGTTGTATAGCCGGCTCCTGAAGAGCCCAGTTGACGAAAGTTGACGAAAGTTGACGAAAAAGGACGATGAGAAGGTTTCCGCTATTTGCCAAAGTTTCCCCACCCGAAATCTCAAAATTTCAAATTTGAGTGTGTCTTATAACAGCAGTCCTATAGCCACTTAAATACTCTCCCTCAGGCTGGACAAGTATCAAACTTTAATTTCTAAAAGACCGAGAAAAAATATGTTTATCGGTGACAGATTGTTAATGGTGTTTGTGGACATTGCCTTTAACTTCAACAGAGAACTGTCAGTGTGGGTACAGGGCAGTGTTGTATCAGCTTGGCCAGTTGTTTTCATTTTAGACTGAGTGAAAGAGATGTAACCAGTTTCGCATTTTAGCCTAGTATGTAAAAATATTTTCCTAATATTTTCTTACAGATATTATCTTTGCTCAGTTTTCATGGCACCGCAAAGAAAGAAGACATTACCCAAACCACTCCCAGAGGGCTTTGTACTGACCGACACTGAGAAGAAGAAATGGAGGCTGGGGAAAATCATTGGTCAGGGTGGCTTTGGACTAATTTATCTTGGTAATGAGCACACTGTCTGATGACACATGCACACATTGGTACATTCACACAAGTATGTACATGCAGGCAGGCTTGTCTGCTGCAGATTAACTCCCTCTCCTTCTCTGCCAGATACACATGTTGGTTCTGGAAGACACTTCTCTGATTGATCTGTTTTTCTCTGGGTTGTGAAGCTGTTTGAACAGTCTAATCTATGAAGACCTTTCCAATCAGCTGCAATTCCCAACTTTTACAAATCCACTAGTGCTCAGTACAGAGCTTTGTTAATGTCTTCCTTGTGTTTGATACATTTTATAAATCCAAAGGGCCTGATCTAGTCCAAGAGTTAAAACTTAAAGGAGGGGGGGGTATACAATTCTAATGCAGTGCACATCTTGCGATGAAAAAAAGAGAAGGTATTTGTACACAGCCCTCTGTAAATGAGAAAAGGTCAGTGACACAACACTATTCCAGCAGTGATTTGTGTGTCAGGTTACGTTAAATGACTTGCCCTCAAACATTCAGCTTACTTTCTAGCTCACCAAGACATGCTGTTGTGATGTTAGCTATAGCAGCAGGAGAGTTGTGAGCATCAGTCTGGAGATATTGTGCTTGCTCTGGGACCGTCTCGTCCTCTCTGCATGTTAGCTTTGCAGCTGCAGCTGTAATGACAGTATGCTAACCTACAACTTGGCTAACATTAGTTCCATTACTTCTTATATTATTTCTCTAGAATTGCATACCCCAACTATATCTGATCGTAAAGTATCACAACTTGGTAGCCTTTCTTTTTGTCTCATCCTTCCTCGCTGTCTCCTGTTGTCTCACAGCCTCCCAGGACGTGGACAGACCTGTTGCAGCAGACACTGGCTTTGTCATAAAAGTGGTGAGTACATTTGTGCTGCATGCAGACAGCCTATCCATCTTAAGGGACACAATACTGCTTGTTTGAAGTGCCAGTGTATACTGCAAGATGCCCTTACTGCGCTCTGTGCAGGAAGCAGAAAGCAGCTGTTACGATGGCCACGGACAATAATGCATGTATAAGCTGTTTACAACAACACAAGTGATATTTTCACCAAACATCATGTGATTTAGTTTGAAGTGACTGCGAGAAACGTGAGAAGATTGCCACGTATGATGTAAAAATAACCTTTGACAATTAAGCAAAGTGGAACGGAGTGATGGTTCCTCTAACCTCCCGCATGAGCACTTCTATTTAGGGTTAGTAGAATATCCAAAGCTGGCACAGATGCATTGCCCAGTTGCTTGTTGCTGGGTTGTATTGTCCACATCCACTCCCAATAAGCTGTTTTGGGATAGCCTGTGAACCCTTCCTGCACTAGTGGCTGAGTAAATAAAGGCAGACTTCAGTGGCAAGTTTATTTAAGGCCTTGGACAATGTTCAGATTCAAAGTAGCAAATGGTTTTATTATAACATATGGCTTTTTATGCAAGTGATACATTATAATGTTTATCTGATACCAATATGAGGCTTCACCGTTTACTGCAGCTCCCTCTCTCTCTTTGTGTTATACCCCTGCCGCATCTCAGCAAGGTAACAGTCCACGTCAACAAAAAGATGGAATTTCATGCTTAAAACACTAACTGAAAAATAAATACTGGCCTTGTTTAAGTAAACAGGCTTATAGATTAAAAACAGCCCTGCATTAAAATAATGCAGCAGGTTACCTTGGTGTGGGCGTGTTGCTTCAGTTAGTGGTGAGACATGAAATACGATCTAGGAAGTCCAGTTTGAGTAACTGATAGTGAATTCTTGGCCGAAGCCGAAACTGAATATAATGAAATAAATTGCCGAGCACTGACCAAGTACATTCATTACTATTGCATAAATTAAATAGTCAAAATGTGCTTTTACCCAGTGTTTCCCACAGGATTTGGAGAGACTATGGTGTGTGGGTCCGAGGCCCGAGAGGGTCCGTTAAGTAAATGTGTCCATTCACTTTTAATGGACACATGTAATATGTTTTATAATTTCTGTGAATATAATCCAATTAATCTTATTTCCATCCTGTACAGACGTCTTATTCTGAAAACTGGACATTGTCACATGTGTGGTGCGGCTAGCTTAATCGCATTCTCACAAACGAGTGACAGAAACACTCAAAGCGGTTCTTTTCCAAGAAGTCAGCCACAGATGGATGAATTGTTTTTATCTGCGATTTGCCTGTTACTCATGTCGCCTCACCAAGCTCCGTGTGTTCTCGCATCTTTAATGAACAAAGTGTTTCAAAGTTTTGCGCATTCTTTCAGAGCCAAAGCCAACACCTGTCTGATTCCAACACCAACAATCTGGTCGATCACTTCAATCATATCTGCTTGTCGTCACTAAATATTACTGCTCCTCTAAAGGTTAGGCCTACGTCTAAAGCTAGTAAGCAACCCTGGATAAATGACAGCATTCGCAGCCTAAAAAGGGAATGCAGGAAAGCAGAGCGCAGATGGAAAAAATCCAGTCTCCAAGTCCATTACCTCAGTCTGAAGGATTTATTAATTAACTACAATAACATGGTTAAGGATGCGAGAACACACTATTTTTCTGAACTCATTACTACACATAAACACAATCCCAGGTTTCTGTTTAAGACTGTGGATCAGCTGGTAAACCCAACCCTTCCTTGTGCCTCAGCTGGAAGTAATGATGACTGTGAATTGTTTTTATCTTATTTTAACAATAAGGTGGTGTCAATCAGAGCCTCTGTTACCCCCGTGGCCTCTTACTCAGAGGTTCCTCACCAGCAGCAAGAGAGTTTTAACCAGTTTTATCCCATCAACTTGTCTGAGCTTTTAAAAACAGTATCACAAATGTGAGTGTCCTCCAGCCCACTTGATGTAATGCCTACAAAATTTTTACTGAAAGTAATAGATTCTGTTGGGCCCCATTTGATCTCTGTTTTCAACAGCTCCCTATCTACTGGTTGTGTCCCTGATTATTTTAAAACGGCTTGCGTGAACCCACTTTTAAAGAAACCTGGTTTAGATCCCTCCCTCCCACAAAATTTTAGACCAATTTCAAAACTGCCTTTTATTGCAAAGATTCTAGAAAGAATTGTGTCCAAACAGCTGCTCACTGTACTGGAAAATAACAACTTATTTGAAAAGTTTCAATCTGGTTTCAGGAAGTACCACAGCACTGAGACTGCCCTGCTTAAAGTCACCAATGACCTTTTAATGTCTGCTGATGAAGGCATGTGCTCAGTCCTGGTACTCCTGGACCTTAGCGCTGCTTTTGACACCATTGATCACAACATCATGTTAGACAGACTGAGGCACTGGGTGGGGATCTCTGGTACTGCCCTAGAATGGTTTTCATCCTACCTGTCAAATAGGAAGTTCTGTGTCTGTAAACAACTATGTCTCTTCGTTCTGTCCAGTTAAATATGGTGTGCCTCAGGGGTCGGTCTTAGGACCCATTTTGTTTTCCTTGTATCTGCTTCCCCTTGGACATATTATCCATAAACATGGCATTTCTTTTCATATTTATGCTGATGACACACAAATATACTTGCCCGTCAGATCCACAGACCCTGGAATGCTGAGTTCACTTAACAACTGCCCTTGTGAAGTTAAAAAATGGATGTCAAATAATTTCCTCCAGCTGAACTGACAAAACAGAAATCCTGGTCATCGGGTCCCAGCAGATGGCAAATCAAATACTGCCATCTGCTGGTTCCCTAGTAAATCACATTAAGCCTGTGGCAAAGAACCTTGGTGTTTGGTTTGATAGTAATTTAAATTTCGAGCAGCACACCATAAAGCTTGTTCAATCATGTTTTTATCAACTTAGAAATATAGCAAAAATTCGATCTATGTTAACTTTTAAGGACACCGAGACCATTTTACACGCCTTCATCTCATCACGCCTGGATTATTGCAACAGCCTTTTCACCTGTTTAACCCAAAAATCTATTGATCGACTCCAGACTGTCCAGAACTCAGCTGCCAGGCTTTTAACCAGAACAAAGAAATATGACCACATCTTCATGGCCTCTCGCCTTGTTATATTTCTGAACTTTTAGTCCCATACACACCAGCACGTACCTTGAGATCCTCGGGCAGAGGTCTGCTATCTGTTCCAGAGTCTCGACTGAAAACTAAAGGGGACAGAGCGTTTGCTGTCAGGGCCCCGAGGCTCTGGAACAGCCTGCTCGAGGAAATCAGGTCGACTGAGTCAGTGAACTCTTAAGTCCCTTCTTAAAACATACTTTTATAGGAGAGCCTTTCCCGATTTTATTTGACTTTATTTTATCCCTTTTATTTTATTCTATTTTACTTATTTTATATTTATCTTAAACGTGTATTTTAGTCTTTTCTTTTTATCTTGTATTGTTTTTGTATTATTGTTTTTTGGGTATTATTGTCTTTACACTTGTTAAAGCACTTTGTTGTTGTTTTTGAAAAGTGCTCTACAAATAAAGATTATTATAATTATTATTATTATTATGTACAAGTAATTAATTAGCAATTATTGTGTGATATGTTTACACGTATTTACACCCTTGGTTGAAGGGAGGTAACATATAGAGGAATGAGAGGGATTCTCCTTTCACTTAATCCAATCTAAATGGGAAAGCCATGTTCCGTTCAGGAAGTTTGGAGAGTCCTTTTGATTCCAGGGAATAGACAACTGGAAGAAAGGTTTAACAATGAATAGAATGTACAGCTGGTTTTATTTATACAGTTGGGATGATGCTTCTTTGTTTGGACACATCTCTCACAACCCCACTTTGTGATGTGTACTAAGACATATTTATTTTTCTCTAGCCTAGTGCTTGTTAAACCAATGATAATGAAATGGTAAATGATTTGTGTATGTATGTGCAGGAGTACCAGCAGAATGGCCCCCTGTTCTCGGAGCTCAAGTTCTACCAGAGGGCAGCCAAACCAGAGAGCAGTGAGTAGCACCACCCGCCCAGCGTCCCGGCAGCTCACTGGAGCACAAGTGTGTTTGACTGATGAAGTGGCCGCAGACACAGAGGCTTTGCTGCCTGCCGCACAGTAATTAATAATAAGCCAAAGCAAACATGCACCTCAGTGGCAGTTAGCCCCTCTCTTCGTGCTTGTCTGAGCTCTCCAACGCCTCTGGTGGAGAGGAGCGAGAGAGGGGAAGCCACTCAAACGTAATGATGGCCGGGCCTCCAATGAGCCCCTGACCACCTGCCAGCCTGGTTGAGCGCCAGTCAGGCCAGCCGCCATCGAGCCCTGAGCCAGACCTACTGCTTTGTGTGTGTGTGTGTGTGTGTGTGTGTGTGTGTGTGTGTGTGTGTGTGTTTGTTTGTACCCTCAGTACTGTATGATTGATATTTTCATGCATGCATTAATACACTTACAAAGACTAATCAGAATTATGAACAGAACACTGGCCTACATTTCATAGAGTTTAGGGGCTTTTGTTAGGAGGAGAGGTGTTCGACTGGGGTTAGGTCAAGGTTAGGGAATCATCTGAATCTAATGAAAAGTGTTTGTAGTTGCCAACCATTCCCTTCAGACTCCGTACAGCTAAGTGGTCCAAGGCACTAGGGTTTCTGCTTTTTTAGTACAGCCATTGTGGGTTTGAGTTTTGATTTAGTTGCTGGGTTGAGTCCTATAATTCACCAAATATAAGCACCCCAGGAGTGTGAAAATGGAAATGTGCATACACACAGTCACATAATTATTCCTCTTCTAATCTTGTTCCAGTGCAAAAATGGAAGAGAGGCAGGAAACTGGACTTCCTGGGCATCCCACAGTACTGGGGATCAGGGCTTGCTGAATATAATGACCTCAGGTATTGACGTAGCTAGCATTTGGTGGACAAGATGTTGTCAGATGATTAGATGATTACACTGTATTACATGTCTGCTCCCTTTTTGAGCGTAAAAACAACATCATCATTTTCTCTTCATTTTACAGTATCACCGTGGGTTTGTTTCTAATATGTTGCACCTTAAGATAGCATTACTCTTCGAATGGAGGATGATGTTATGACTGGAGGACTTCATTTCTCAATTGTTTTCATAAACAATATAGCCAAGAGAAAATGTCAGCAGGGGTAAATGATAATAGCAGATTTAGTTCCTACCCATTTACACAGGGCATTAACATGATTTGTATCTGGATAATGAAAAACAGATGTAGGTATAAATACACGCAGAACGCATTGTGATCAGATCAGCCAGTCCACATCTGGAGGTGGCTTGGATACACTGGGATAAAATCCCAGCCAGGTCAGGTGTTAATTCAACTCATACAGCGAGAAATACACCATGGATAAAAGTACTTGGACAAGCTTGTACCAATACTTTGGGAGGGGCTGTCTTGGCCGCTAGATGAGCATTATGACACGTGTTACAAAGTGACACTGATAGGTTACAGAAGTAAATGCTGGACTACAATCGAGCTGTTTTGAAACAGTTCAGAGCAGTGCCTATGGATTTAGAATGGGATGTCATAAAAGTAATGTGTAAGTAAATGTCCCAGTACCTTTGTCCCATTAGTGTATATTCTTCACAACAACACCCAAAAAGCTTAAAGACTAAACTTGCTAAAGAAATGCATTGGGGAGGAACTACAGCCGGTAAATCTGGGATAAGTCATGTAGTTAGTTTTGATGCTCTCGACAATGATTTCACATTCATGGCGCACTACCTAAGCCTTATGGCAGGGAAAACCCTGTTATTATGACCTCAGAATCATTACAGATTATAGGGTTATTTATGTTTGCTTTTTTGTTTTGACCCTCCCTGGAGCTACAAATATTTTTCCTTGAGCCTCCCTGAGGGACTGGGGGAAAATTCATGACCCTCCCTCCACCATAAACAACCATATTTTTATTACATTCACACCAAAAGTAGCTAGTATTGGAGAAAATAAAAAGCAAAGGCTGACCTTTTCCAACTATTACATTTAATAGCAACTCTTAAACCCTGGCCCTCTGACCCCCCTTAGCTTGTAGGGATAAAAGCAAACTACCATCCCTACTTTACTGTGTCCTACCCTATAGTAATGTTACTGCAAAAGTTAGCTATGACAGTTCTGACTAGGAAACCAAAATAAGATGCTTTCTTAGTCAAACCAATGCAATGTGCAAAAAGCACAGAGGAAGTGAGCAAACCAGTAATTCTATTAACGATTACTGGCTATAGAATTGCACCATCACTTGCTGTGTGTGGTTCAGGTGGGGTATGAGGTCCATTGAGGTTTAGGTAGATGTGGGAGATAAGTTTAGTTAAACAATTAACATATAATAACATAAATGCACAATTCAACCATTTAAAAGTTGTATGTCTCTCCCCTATTGCCAAAGTAAAAAACTACAAAAGTCCCTCCCAATTGCTACAAAAATTATTTTACGTGCCTCGCTGGAGCGCACCTCCAGAATGATGATTTTATGATGATATTGTTAACTAGAAATTCAGTATGCTTGTTCTTCAAAGTTATACCTGACTTGATAGATTTGAAGTGTAAAGGATGTTCCAGTGGACCCTATGCTAAAGGAGATCAGAAAGGAAGCATTGAAGCACCTTTCCTTAGCATGTAGAGAATACGACCAGCTGGTCATGTAAAGTTATCTGTCCATCAGGAAACTCCGTAAATCAGAAAGTTGAGGCAGAACAGCCGAAAGTGAACCGTTATGTCAACAATGTTAGTTGCATTAAAGATATTATAGTCATTGTGATTTTCACCTACAAGTGAATAGCTGTTTTAATAGTTTTTGATCAAATTCCACTATAGTATTTCTGAGCACTGAATGTCTCATTCACACCTTGTTCGGTTAACCTGTGTTTTTTTTTTTTTTACAGAACTCTTGGGCCAAAAAACCATCTACATATCAGGAAGTAGGAGATGGTTTGTTATTCAGAACCAGGAAAAAAATTTAATTTGATCTGATCTTCTCCTCTACTACGCAGATATCGTTTCATGGCCATGGACCGACTGGGCAGTGACCTTGAGAAGGTCCTTGAGCACAATGGAGGTAGACTTAGGAAGTCCACCGTGCTCCAACTTGGTCAAAGACTGGTGAGCTCATCTGCCTGTTTTTTTTATGTTCATTGGCTGTTGTTTAAAGAAGGTGAATGCAGCTGGGTTTCCAGCAGCTCAGATAGAACACAGAAGGCCACTTTAACAGATAATGACCCCTCTACCATAAGGTGAACAGAGCATACCTCTTTCATTCTTGTTTTGTGTGTACATGCTCTGTTTTGGCCTGTGCCAGGTGGCTGTGCTGGAGTATATTCATGAAAACGAGTATGTCCATGCAGACATAAAAGCTGCCAACCTCATGCTGGGTTACAGAGACCCTGAACAGGTAAGTCCCCTGACCTCTAATTATCTTGAATGTGCATAGAAATTAGGTCTTCTCTGTTCTGCAAAATAAACACTTGTGCTTGGCTATCTATCTGTCTGTCTATCTCTATCTCACAGTAAAGGGTTATATTTCCTTGTGCACATTATCAGATATCCATTTTATTGAGAATTGTGTCACTTAGGCTATGTTCAGACTGCAGGCCTTAATGCTCAATTCCGTTTTTTTTTTTTTTCCCCAGATCTGATTTTTTTGTTTGACAGTTAACATTGTTGTTTAAATGGTGCCCATATCAGACTCCAGTGTGAACAGTCCGCGGCCTGAAAGTGATCCGCATGCGCAGAAGAATAACACGACGTCACACACAGCAGCACGCTGTTGCAGGCTACAGAAGTAAACAAGGAGCAACCGAGGTTAGCCCTGGTTAGCTCACGGGAGACTCACATTTTTTATTGTCCTCTCACGGGTCACATTTCTCACGAATTATGACAAGTGTTCACAACTTTCTGTCCTTGTCATTACGGTTTCTGGCGTTGTACAACACAACTGCCCCACAACTCCCTCCCTCTCTCTCCCTCCCCACTGTGTCCGCTCGGACAGTGCCAACAGCTCAAAGTCGCATCAATTCCGACCTGAGTGTCCAGACTCAGTTCACATTTCACAAAAGATCCGATCTGTATCAGATTTGGACCAGATATGAAAGTGGCCCAATTCTGAATTCAGATTCAATGTGACTTGGCCTGTTCACACTGTCATAAAAATATCAGATCTGAGTCACAAAAAAATCGGATTTGGGTCACTTTGCCCTGCAGTCTGAATGTAGCCTAAGAAGACAGACAGGATACATTCATCATTTGTTGAATGGCTTTGTATTAAGTAATGTGTGAGCGTCCTGTTCTGTGCTGTAGGTCTACCTAGCAGACTATGGGCTGTCCTACAGATACTGTCCTGATGGCGTCCATAAAGAATACAAGGAAAACCCCAAGAAGGGACACAATGGAACCATTGAGTACACCAGCCTTGATGCCCACAGAGGACTTGGTAAGCCTTCCAGTTTATAAGCAGATAGACACTAGAGAAAAGAAAATTTGACAGAAGTTGATAAATTGCTATTGCACACATTCAGAGAGGATTTCAATTGCTATTTTTATTCTCAAATCTTATTATTTTTATAAGGGGATTTTTCTTTGTCACTGGCTAAAACCTCTTCGGTGGCAAAGATTCCTCTATGCAGGAAAATCCCTGCCATCATATAAAACCCCACTTCACCATTAGCTAGTGGAATCTTGCAGAGCAGTCTCATTGAAGGAGGCGTGTGTTTGGATTTGAACTCATAAAGCCATGAAAACGACTAACTGACATTTCACGCGTATCCTCCTCATGGTCTAAAAACGCAGGTGAGTGAGGTGTGTGTGTGTGGAGGCCAACTGTGTATCGCGGCGCTGTATTCACTAAGCCACGCACACTTCTGAGCAATCCATCACATCACAACTAAACCCCACCTACATATTCAGTTTTATGCGGAAATGTCATATTACAGAAGATAAAGACTCTTACTTCTGTTAAAGAGGTCACATGGGCAGCTCATTTATAAATGTACAAACTTTTGCTGGGATTGAGAGTGCGTGTATTTAACCGTAAGGGCCTTGAGACTAGGATCGAACTTAAAACGATACTCACATGCCATATTCATATTGAAAGAAAGTAACTGTAATCCTTCCATACTGGCCATGAAGCATGACTACACTGTAAAACATGAGCGACAAAATCCATAGTCCTCATTCCGTTCATTCAAAGTCCAGCCAAAGCAAATATGAAACTTCAGCAGTATGTGTTAGCCAAGTCGAGTAGGTAACTTCCAAAGTTTCAATGCTTGTATCTCCAAATTCCATTTTTTTCAGACAGTGTTTCCTTGCCCAGTCGTGGTGGATGTCTCCTGGTAGGTGCATAGGACAAAAGCAATAAACCTTCACTCAACTACCAGAGCAAAGATGGCCCTGATTTGTCTATCTCAGACTGCTAATTTTACTACCATTTTTGATATTGGTATATTTACACTATCTATATTAACCCTTGAATAAGCTCTGCCCTATTAGGTTGCAGACTTTGTTTGTTAATACATGTAAAATAGTCTCTCCGCCCCACAGCCCTCTGCCTCCCTCGCTCATATTGGGAACACATTAACTGGCAAATTGCCTACATGCTCCCCCTCTTCATTGACCATCGATTCTCCATCCGCGGCCCCTGCTGAATTCCTTGGTACCGTCTCTGTTTAACAATTCCCTAATTAGCTGAAGTCATAACCTGCATCGTGTATTCATCCCCCATTAATTAAGGACTTTGATGTTTGGTTAGAGCGAGGCCTGAGCCACAGATAACCTCTATGAGCTCCACACCGACCAACTCCACCACCCTCCAGTTCGATATAGTGAGTTAGCAAGGCTCAGACTGCCTAATCTCCACGGCAGTGTTTCTATCAACATGATCGATAAGTAAAAGAGGGGCAGAAAATGTCCTGTCAGCACTAGCTATCAAATGGACTTCATGTCAATTTTAATCATTTTGAAAGGGAGGGAGGGAGAGCGGAGAAAAGTTGAGCTATAAAAATTGTAATACACCTTTTTGCTATTTCACATTTACAGCCATTTCCACTAGGTTGTCTTATTGGAGCTATAAGAGTGCTGCAAGCCCGCCAGAGATAATCATTGTTTTAAATACAGATCCATGCCTGTATTACACTAGACCTTCAAAGAACTGAACAAAGCTCCAGCAATGGGAAGAAAATATACTGTATAGATATAGTCTATAATCTTAAACACCTGCTTAAAAACAGACATGCGCATGGTGATTATGACCGAGGACCAGGCCCTTATCTGCACTTCTCTGACCTGATGCCACCAATCCCTGCAAAGATGTTGACAGGCTACCATGGTGAGGTTTGGTGAACGCAGCTGCAGACTGGCAGACCTTTGAACCCAGAGCTAAACGGCGTAATTACCTCCATTCGGTAGGCGTCCAGTGGACAGAAGACTGTCTCCAAACAACAAGACTGTGAAGCAGAAGGGTTAAGAGTGTGACACTGCAGCATGCTTTAGGGAATCTGAATAACAATAGGAGATAATTAACAACACCATCACCTCCCTGTCTAAAGCATGTACCGTGAGCAGTGCGTGTGTGTGTGTGTGTGTGTGTGTATTAATGTGGCTGTTCTTTATGTAATGTGCATGTCTGTGTTTTCCGAGCATGTTCAACCTCCCTTTGAGAGCTGTTTAAATGTGTACGCACATGCATATCTCCCTGCACTGTCCTGTGTCATTCCTCATATGAGGGTAAAACGCATTAAACAGAGAAGACCAGCACTATTATGAGCTTCGGCACTGTACCCAGAGCACACAGAGTGCAGCAACGCTTAATGTAGTTGTTGATCTTTTTAATGGTTAATCTATTGTGGTGCTCTGGGAGTTGCAACACTTTTTCCAGCGTCAGTATCACATGTATTTTTCATCTTTATCCTTCTTTTAATAGGCTCTCAGTAGCAATGAAGTATTTTACAACAAAAGGAAGTAATGGTTACTTAATGCATATTTTACACCCACAAGGGCGAACAGGCCAGAGAGTTGTTGAGATGTACTGTAACAGACAATGATAGAATCAGACTACAAACGTTATTTGCCTCTTGAAATGATCACTGATCAGATTAGTTACATTACGCAGTCAGATTCGTATATTGAAGACATGGCACACTACAAGTTGGACCCCAACTAACCATAGCTTGATGTCTATAACAACTTATGCGACATAAAGACGTGATCAGTTTATGAGTCAAAGTACAACTGAACCATTCATTGTTCCTTGGTGGTGAAGTTGGGCTCTGTCAGTCTCACACCAGTGTGTGGGTGCATAGTGTGCATGTTTGCAGAGGGTGGCATCGCACCCAAAGGTGGGATTAATTTGGTATGATACTCCCGACCTGAAGATGATGGTCAAATGGTTACAGGTTCACTGGAAGAGCACTCCATGCTGCTATTGGTCACATCATGAAACATTGTATAAGTTGTCAAATTAGATGAAAGAAGTGGTTCGTTATCTTCCACTAGGACACTACACGGGATAAAACCAAAAATGTTTGCGCCCAACACTCATTTTTGTTGCTCCACATCTTTCGGTTCGAATGGTGCGTGGTAATCTGCATTAGATCCTATATTTGGATAAGGAAGTAGGGCTCTGGACAGAATATTTATAACTGAACATCAATTTTAATTCTTAATAATCTCCTTAAAACACCCACATGAATTCATGCCTTCAAAGTTGAGTTACTGTAAGGTTTCTGATGCCTACATGTAAGGACATCAGCTAGCATCAAGGCCCTTCCTATACAGCCAGTATCAACATCCCGTTTTTAACCACCTCTCCCATTCTGATCATCCTCACTGATTGTTTACCCTCCCTGCTAGGTCCACGCAGTTTAGTGTTCCCAGCTAACCCCAGAGTTTGTTATTTAGGCACAAACCTCAACATGTATTTCATGTCATGTCATGATCAGCACCTACGTCTTGATATTCTGTACCCATGTTAAAAACATTTGGATTACTCGTATTTCATGAACTACAAATTAATAAACGCGTAATCAAATTACTGCCCACCCACTCCATGTAATCTGGTCTTGTGTGTCGGTGACCACGCTTCCTCTTTAGACCAGCCTGTTGGCTTGGGAGGATCAATTCCGGCCATGGCTCGGGGAGGAGATTTCTCCCCTCTGATGGAGCCAGTCGATAGGTAATTTCTCCAGAGATGTGTGGCGGCCGTTACAGTATTGAGCTGCTAAAACTCCCCGGGCTCGACCCCTTTGGATGGACTTGGTCGACAAGTATTGATAGACCTCACACATTAATGTAGACCCATGCGATCGCACACACTCACATAAAACACAAACACACTCTAGAGTTCTTAAATAAGTCTTAGTACATGTGACAACACACTAGTATCATGCATATAATGTTTTATGGCTTCAATTCTTTAATAATAAATTATGTTTTTCTACCTGCCTTCCTGATCAAATATCTTAATCAATGGTTATGATTGGTGGAAGTGTTTACAGTGGATATACACAGTTGTGGATATCTGCATTTGTCTTGACTACAGACACTTTGGTTGGATATTCAGGTGTGTTATGCTAGTAGCGGCAGATGTAGTCTAAAATAATAATCCTAATGACTTTGGTGACCCTGCAACTCTTATAGCACCACCATTTTTAAATCAGCGTGAAATATCTCCCAACGGCTGAGTGGACTGTCATGAAATTTGTTGCAAACACTCATGCCTCACTCACGATGTATTGTGAGACACGTTTCTTCTTTAGCTCCGTCATCAGGTCAGAATTCCCACTGGCAAAACTAATAACATTAGTTCATATCAATAAATGTTCCCTGCTATTTTTTTTTGCATTTGAACATTGTGTTTGCATGCATGTTGGCGCTGAAACAACTACAACACCAACCAATACTATTACATTTGCTTCACCACAGCTGCTAGCGATCAAAGGTAAACTTTGAATCTCAACTATTATCCATCTTTTAGTTTAGTTTTCTTCAATGGACACTGTAGCCTCACAGAGTCTTGCTTATTGATACAGAATTAGATAGGAATTGGGTTGTTGTCTGTATCTTTCCTGTTTTGATATAAAAATGGCTTCAGGTTCTGTCTTTGAAATGTGCAATGTCTAAGTGAATTAGTATCTGTGCTGCAGGGTTTTTGATTTGTTCGTCTGTGTGAATGACATATCTGCTTTAACCTGCCTATGTTGCTGATGGTCCTTGGGTCCGACCTTGACTGCTCAAGGGAAAGATCTGTTGTTTGAAAATGCTGTCCGGTGACTCTTTGTGATACTAGTGACGTTTGTACTGCTGCTTTTCTTTTGTTTTCTTTGGGGAAATATTCCAGAGCACTGGAGGAAAAAAAGGCTGATTTATGACTGATTAATAAAAGAAGCAAGCAGCAGGTAAAATAATTTTAATGGCAGCCAAGTATTAAAAGTATTATGTTTTATAACCACCTCATCTTTCTGTCTCTGTTTAGCTCCATCCAGACGTGGTGACTTCCAGATTTTGGGGTTTTGTCTTCTTCACTGGTTATGTGGCTCTCTGCCTTGGGATAATGTTCTCAAGAACCCAACTCAGGTCCAAGAGGCCAAGGCCAGGTAGGTAGTCACTTGCGTTGTTTCCACAGCAGAAGCTTAATGGTCTGTAATGCAGTGTGTAGCCACTCTCGGGGGAGTGTTGGGATGTGTCCTAGCTTTACATTTATTGGCACAAAATTAATTTCTGGAAATATATATATAATGGGGCCTGTGGATATTATTTGCGTTAACGGTGCAACAGCTTGTTTACAGAAGTAACACAGCATTAAAAAAAGTAGCAGTGGGGTAGTGTAGCTATATTCACAATCTGTTTGTGTTTCCACAAAGTAGCTGTGTAGCGCAGCCGAATGCCATGTTGCTTTATTTAAACAATTGTTACATTGCATTCCAACGTCTGTTGCTCCAACAGATTCTTCACTTGCAATTTTGCATCGTCTGAAAGAGCCACATCGCAACACACACACACACACACACACCCCTCAATTCATTTTTGATGATGCCATTTAATAATGCTAATAATGGTGCTACTTTCATTGTTTTACTGCACTCACCTAAAAAAACCCTGCATAATAGTGCAGATGTAGGCTGTCACATTTTTATTTACATTTATCCAAAACGTCCTGGTTTTTAAAATACAGTGGAAATGTAAGTTTGTTTTTCCCCAATCCTCCACTGTACTCTAGGAAACATTACCTTCTTGTTACCTTTAGAAATTCTTTAAATTATTAATGATTGATAGAAATTCATGTCTGTGGCTGGTGGTAGCCACTTGCAGGATTTTTATAATTCCCTTTATCTCAGGATAATTACTGTATGTCTAAGGTAAATTTTAGAAAGCACTAAAAGCCTACCAAATATCTGCTGGGAAACTGAAAAGTAAATCCCCTGGGTGGACACAATATCCAAGATTTATACAATTTAATACTAGTCGTCGTTCAATAAAATATTTTTAAAGACTGTTTGAGAGAGGTTGATTTCCTGCTGACCGTTATTTTTTCAGTCAAGAGTTTGTACAAATAAATGTACTGACTATCTGTGTTTAAACCTGAAAGATTTATCAACATCCTGTAGGACAGTTTGCTTTGACTTGAATTCAGCTTGTCCTCCTGCTGCGTTCTTCCCACTCTTCTATCTATGCCTGAACTCAGTCACTCATAATGTTTCTGTCCTTGCTTCCTCACTGTATTGTCTCCTCTTACTCCTCTCTCAGACTGATGGATAATCTGCCAGACTCGGTACTGCAGCTGTCAGTGAGCGGGTCCAGCACAGGTAAGCCAGGGCCGCAGGGCATCATTTACTCCTCTTAGGTTAAACTGAGAATTTGGAAATAAGACGGCAAGCCTGTAGAGGAGAGGAGAAGAATCTTGTGTCCAGAGCCAGTACCAATTTAGATACTGGGCTGACATGCACAGGTCATATTGGCAGGGTCTGAATTTAGCATCTGCCAAATCTGGGTAAATTGTACGAAGTGAAATTGTAAAATTGTCTGGCCATTAGTCAGACGGGGAAAACAAACAGAAAGACACATGTAGTAAGGTTATCATATTGTGGCGATCGGCGCATGCCCCTGCATCACACACAACGCACACACCCAGCAGTCAGCTCAGGGAATATCTGTGGCGGCGCTTCAAACCAAACTCACAACGTGGAAGAGGCCCAGTTTGTCCTGAGTGACAACTACAGGAGGCAGCTCCAGTGTTGTCGGAGAATCACTAAGCTTGTGTGTTGGGCACTGACTGTGTGACACACCATGGTGCACTTCAAGTTCTTGTGTGCTTTGTGTTTCTTGTCAGCTGTCAACACCTTTGAAAAACCTGGTTGTTAAGTAAGGTGGAGTGATGAGACATGTACTGAAATACACGGGTCCTTTGTGCACGCAAACATGCATGTAGTGTTTTTATATAAATATATTGAACCTTGAATGAGAACATTATTTACATCAAATGATGCCTACATGAGCTGATTATTCCTTCATTTAGTGCAAACATTTGAGTGGCAGATAAAAGGTCTGGTTGGCAGACAATTGAACGTACCTGTGAAAAGAGTAAATTTCAGACCCTGCATGGGTAAGGGCCAGTCCTAATTCTAAAATGATTATCTCTGGAATCACAGGAATTTATGACTTTATTTATTAAAATGCTCTGATGTTATCCTTTAATTTTCATTAGATTATGCAGTAATGTTTTTAGAGGATAACACTTCCTCCTCTTAAAACTATATTATCCATGAGGTGGAGATGCAGACCGGATCATCTGATGTTCTGTTGGTCAGCATATGGCTCTTCCGAGTGGTTTTACAGGAGCATGTTCACAGGATCGACCTGGGGTTGTTACTGCTCGCAGTGAGAGTGAAAGAATCCAAACACATGCGGCCATTTCTGTGTGTTATTTCAGACATTTGTTGTAACTAGGGGTGTAACGGTACACAAAATTCACAGTTTGGTATGTATGGTATCCCCGTCATTGACTCTGAGCTCTTACAATGGCAGGACGGAACCTCGACTCGAGACCGTGGGTGTTTAGTATGGAAAGTATTGTGCTGCAGATCCAGTAATACAACTGTAATAACGGCAAGTTAGGGTTGGAATGCATTTATGACAGTAGCTTGGTAGGTACCACTACATCTGGTAGCTACGAAACTACTGGTAGTGTGACCAAACGTGTTGTTTCAATCAAATGTGACCAGATTGTGACAAGAATTCTTGTCACATACTGGGATTCAGTTCCTTCAGACATTTTAAAGTGGATTATCGTCCAGGAGTCTGTAGAAACAAGGCTAAACAGCGGTCTAGACTACATGAAGATCAAAAATGTATTCTGCTCCTGAATAACTTTGTACCGAGTTAACAGCCGTCCAATTGACATGCCTTTCAAAGTTTGTCGTGTTTTAATCTCTCCTCTTTATAAGGAGAGGTCACACCTGTGCGAGGGCTTAGTGTGTGATGTATGGTTGGGACCGGGTGCTCCTCTGCTGACAAGGCCCGGCTGCCCGCCTCAGATAAGAGCCAGGGTATGCATCAACTAAGTGTGTGTGTGTGTGTGTATGAGAGAGAGATAGAAGTCCTACCGCAGTATGTGTCATACACGTCATCTGGCCAGTGTGTGATGCATCGCAACTGATTGTGTATGACACTTCCACACACACACACACACACACACACACACACACACACACACACACACACATAATGCATATCCATAGCTATGCACATGCCTAATCTACTCTCTGCGGGGAGATACATTGCCAGGCAGTGTATTATCTGGACTGTGAGACCTTCAGGTTCATCCTGCCTTTGCTGCTGCATGTCTCCCAGAAATGATTTCTTACTGAGCATACATCATCACTGAGGCTAGTGCCTGTCTAAAAAAGTATGTCTCAGTTAGTAAAATCGAACCTGTCTGATAATAGCAATGTGCGACGTATGCCTTTTTTTAATGGCCTGATCCATTATTAAACATACTGACTTAAATCTTGGACATGTTGTTTTACACTCACTCCGTTCCTGTCTTCAGATGAGGTGGCTGAATTCCTCCTTTATGTGAAAACTCTGGACTACCAAAATAAGCCAAACTACCAGCTTCTCAAAGCCCTGTTGGCCAGTGTTACCACAGGAAGACTTGACTTCTCCATGCCTCAAGGACCTGCAGGGAAGTCAACCACCAAGGTAGACGATGCCCCCACCAGGGAAAAGGTGAGAACATGACAAGAAATAATAAAAAGCAGTTTCCGTTTGCGAGCACGCTAGTGTATTCAGACCGTTTCTGTAGAGACCTGTGTCCACAGTGAAACATGTGAACGACGTAATAACAGTTGAATGTACCATATAGTTGTTCTCATTTACATGTTTTTCTTTTTCTGTTGTCAGACAAATGTCTGGAACAGTGATATAATTGTGGCTCACAAACACTACCAGCTAACTGGCAGTCATTCCCAAGATGCTGTGCTACTTGTTCAGGGTTCCCACTCTTTTCTAGAGATCATTTTCCAGGACTTTTCCAGGGATGATCTGGCTGGTATGACAGACGGGGAACATGTCATACACTAAAATGGTCCTCTCTGCTGAAGTCTGATTTTAAAGACTTGCAGTCTATGGCTTTAACTTATGTTTGAAATCATGTATTACATGCATAGAAATGCTGACAAACTGATTCCTTGTTTTAATGCTATGTTTAATATTTTTAATTTTTTGGAGCTCTTTGGGTTTTATGCTCGGCAAGGGCTTTTCTTAGGAATTATACTTTAACCACTGCTGCCTGAAAACCAATATCTGAACAGCCTCAACACAAATACAGGTGCTGGTCATATAATTAGAATATCATCAAAAAGTTGATTTATTTCAGTAATTCCATTCAAAAATGAAACTTGGATATTATATTCGTTCATCACACACAGACTGATATATTTCAAATGTTTATTTCATTTAATTGTGATGATTAAAACTGACAACTAATGAAAATCCCAAATTCAGTATCTCTGTAAATTAGAATATTACTTAAGACCAATCCAAAAAAAAGGTTTTTAAAAATATTGGCCAACTGAAAAGTATGAACATGAAAAGTTTGAGCATGTACAGCACTCAATACTTAGTTGGGGCTCCTTTTGCCTGAATTACTGCAGCAATGCGGCGTGGCATGGAGTCCATCAGTCTGTGGCACTGCTCAGGTGTTATGAGAGCCCAGGTTGCTCTGATAGTGGCCTTCAGCTCTTCTGCATTGTTGGGTCTGGCGTATCGCATCTTCCTCTTCACAATACCCCATAGATTTTCTATAGGGTTAAGGTCAGGCCAGTTTGCTGGCCAATTAAGAACAGGGATCCCATGGTCCTTAAACCAGGTACTGGTAGCTTTGGCACTGTGTGCAGGTGCCAAGTCCTGTTGGAAAATGAAATCTGCAGCAAAACACAGTGGACCAACACCAGCAGATGACATGGCACCCCAAACCATCACTGACTGTGGAAACTTTACACTGGACTTCAAGCAACGTGGATTCTGTGCCTCTCCTCTCTTCCTCCAGACTCTGGGACCTTGATTTCCAAAGGAAATGCTAAATTTACTTTCATCAGAGAACATAACTTTGGACCACTCAGCAGCAGTCCAGTCCTTTTTGTCTTTAGCCCAGGTGAGACGCTTCTGACGCTGTGTCTTGTTCAAGAGTGGCTTGACACAAGGAATGCGACAGCTGAAACCCATGTCTTGCATACGTCTGTGCGTGGTGGTTCTTGAAGCACTGACTCCAGCTGCAGTCCACTCTTTGTGAATCTCCCCCACATTTTTGAATGGGTTTTGTTTCACAATCCTCTCCAGGGTGCGGTTATCCCTATTGCTTGTACACTTTTTTTCTACCACATCTTTTCCTTCCCTTGGCCTCTCTATTAATGTGCTTGGACACAGAGCTCTGTGAACAGCCAGCCTCTTTAGACATGACCTTTTGTGTCTTGCCCTCCTTGTGCAAGGTGTCAATGGTCGTCTTTTGGACAGCTGTCAAGTCAGCAGTCTTCCCCATGATTGTGTAGCCTACAGAACTAGACTGAGAGACCATTTAAAGGCCTTTGCAGGTGTTTTGAGTTAATTAGCTGATCAGAGTGTGGCACCAGGTGTCTTCAATACTGAACCTTTTCACAATATTCTAATTTTCTGAGATACTGATTTGGGGGTTTTCATTAGTTGTCATTTATAATCATCAAAATTAAAAGGAATGAACACTTGAAATATATCAGTCTGTGTGGAATGAACGAATATAATAACCAAGTTTCATTTTTGAATGGAATCAATTTTTTGATGATATTCTAATTATATGACCAGCACCTGAAATAGCCTACAATTGTGCCTACTAACAAAGTCAACATCCAGCATTCCGTTGAACATTACTTTCTAAAGTCACTGTGCTGCACAGCCCAAATCCAGCGTAACGGTACAAAAAGCTATTTCAGACACGTTGCTCTCTGCACGTCACAACGCCACGCTTTATTTAAACTTCACAACTAACTAGGTGCATTGATATGCAAGTGTAATACTGTCAAAAAACTTTATAGGTGTGCAAATATCGAAAATTAAATGATGTTGTAAAGAACGCATCACTATAGGAAATTAAAACAAGTCGTGGTATAAATCAGTTTTTCGCATGTTAGCCCCTTTACTTACGGCCTGACCTGTGCTACCATGTGGCGTGATTTACGGGTGTGTTCACGACGCTGCAAAACAAGCAACCACAACCTAATGTTAAAATAATTTAATAATAATTAATTAAACAAGATTTTCCTGGACAGTTTCTCAAATTTTCCATGTGTTTTCCATGACTGGAAAATTGGTCAACTGTTTTTTTCCAGGTTTTCCAGGATGCGTGGGAACTGTCATTTTATAATCATGACTTAGTCTGACAAATCAGCATAAACTCAGGTTGACAGAGATGCATTTACAAATTTATTTTAGTTTACAAATCCCCAGACCCGTCGCTAGGAAAAGTCATATACTGCCAACCCCAACAGCAGATAGTTGGGAAACTGAAGAGATGACTGTTCAATGCAGTGCTGGTTTAACAGTTAGCCGCTGTAACACGTGATGTTTGATCACGTGCTGATTTAAAACATAAATACAGTCAATCAGTGGAGAATATTTCACAAGAACTATTTTTGCATTCAGGGAACATTAAACAACTTCACAAAATTCCTGTTTCCTTTGTTGAGTCTCTTAACCCCAGAGTGGAGAAACATGACAGTAGTGAAGGGGATTGGGGGGGGGGTGGTTAACCTGCCCCTGACCCCCGCCAATCAGTATGTCAACCAGAGGTGGGCAGGTTTGAAGCTGGAGGACAACGGTGACTCTCCTCAAATTTACCAGAATCACTTCTTGACCCCTTGGGCCCCGCGAGCGCCCTCTCAATGGCCCAATTTGAAGAAGTTGATGACACACACTTTCCACAGCACAGGATGTCTCCAATTATGCTCCTGATTTCCTCTCCTCCTTGTGTCATTTAATTTCCATGCTAAAGTGCTGGCCAGTTTGATCCCTAGTTAAACAGAAGTGGCCATTTACAGGCGGTTTAGTGAGGAGAGTAAATGTCAGCCGAGATAAAAGGCCATTGAACGGGCATGTTCACAGATTCATTTAGTGTTGTATATGAATATGATTACTTTATGCATGATTATAATTATGTAGGGAGGAAAAGTTCTGTTTAAGAGAAACTAATCAAACATTTAAAAAAGCAGCTTTTACACATTTTATGGGGATATTTAGAACACATAACAAAGCCGCACCTATTATAGCTGTACAAGTTCATGATAAAAGTGAGAGTTAAGGTGGTTAAAGGAGCATGAATGCTGAGAGAGAATTAAGCTGGGAAAGCAGTAAGGACATGAAAATGTGAAGATCCAATCATCCACCACTCTCTCAACAGAAAGCAGGACGAGCCAGAGGGTCCTCCAAACCCAAGGCTGTGCCTACAGAGGTGGATCATGAACAGGAAGAGGAGAGGAAGACTAAACCAGTGCCAGCTCGCTATGTAAGAGGACCACCCCCCACTAAACCTCAGTCACAGCTGGTAAGGCCTGAAACAACTGTATATTAAACACCTAGTGAGGTCACTTTGTTTGGTCTGTGTTTGTTTCAATGCCATCAATTTAAGACCATTTGACAACAAATATCTGCGGTCCAGGGTCCACTTATTATGTTTTCAGAATCTTTCAGCCACTTGTAACCTTTAGCAACAGAAGGTCTAGTGGAGCCTTTCTCCCCCTCAGTCAAAGTACGACCTTAACTATATGTAAACTCTTTCCATGTTCATCGGCTTTACTTAACCACATGGAAAAGGTCCTTGAATCTGGCAGTGTTTCCTAATTGCAGTCTTTGCCAGTTAAATCAGTTAGGAACCTGCATGTGACGCTCAGCTGCTCTGATACACTTCTGTCACCGGATTTGACGTCGCCATTGAGTGTCGTGCTGCGAGTGATGCAAAAGACACTTTGAAATCTGATTTGAGTGGCCAGTATGATTGGCATCACATTTCTAACCACCTCCAAATGTGGCTTGGATCCCATTTCACATGTGGATATGCCAAAAAAGGATTTGGGCTGGCAGTCTGAACACAGCCAGACAATTATGGCTAGCTTGATCCACTGTAGCAAAAAGGCTGCTAGCAACTAGATGGAGACTTCTACATTCACTTTCGCTGTGTCAGTGATGTGGTGCATACATAGATATACTGATAACGGAGGTATCTGTGGTTAGGATCAATGGGCTCAAACTGGGACCAAGCACAGCAAGACCTGGTGATGCAGGGCTCGACATTATCAATTGCACGGACGAAGTAAATTCTGTGTCCAAGTAAGAGGAATACTTGCAATTGTACGATTGGCAGTTTGGGATGGGGATTATATGGGCCCTGGGACTAAATAATTAAAGACCATACCTGTTCTTTTACTGGTACTTTTTAACATTTGCATCTCTTTTATAGTAAATGCATTAAGACTGCTCAGAGCCAGCAGAGTTGGCGACTTAATTCTGTAACTTTTTCACTTTCCAAAGACAAGTGTTACAGTATGAAAGTTTTACCTGAACCTATGAAATGTGAATGTTACACAATGTGAGCACACCACATACACAAGTTTATTAAATTGCGTCATACTTTGTGATGTAAAACATTACATAAATAATTCCTGACAAAGACTCATTGACATTTGAGTTCAGGATAACTGACAACATGCAAAGTAAATAAACATTAAGCATTTTTTTATTCATATAGGATGGGACAGATGTTAAGGAAATGCCCATTACTATGGGCAAGTGAAAAATAAATGCGATGTCTTTATTCATTTTCCCATGTTAAAAACAGATATTGTAGTTGTTGCATTTAGCCTACACGTTAACACTAAGCAAGGACACTTGAAATCAAACTATAAATTTGGCAGCCGGCATTCATTTTCCTGCCTTTAAAAATGTCATTTTGGAATAACAGTCTGGAATGTTAAACAACAGAAAAAAAAAAAAAATCAATAAAGAACACCAAATAGTTTGCCCTCAGAAATATTGAGATTAAAAAGGAAACTTTCAGACCAGTCGTATCAAGAAAATGCGACTTCTTCAGTATAATAAAACATTGATGACTAAACATTCATAAATATAGACTTTGAATAATTTATCATTACTTTTGATGAACCCCACAAAAAATAGTATATTATTTTTACTTTGCTGTAGACATCAACAGTGTCTGGTAGTCTTCGCTTTTAGGGCTAGCTGGTATGTGTGGCTTGCTTGCAAGTGCAGATGTTTAATTTAGAATCATCCCAGCTATGTAACCGTTACCTGTTCATTAATTCTAATAATAAAAATCCATGTTGATTTTATTTTATTTTTTAAATAGGCCTATATTTTCCATTTTGGACAAGTATGCTTGGAAGCAAGTAAATATGCCAGAGCAAGTGGCCGAAAGAGCTTAATGTACTGTGATGTATGTTAAGTAAACAATTTGAAGTTGGATGGATGTGGGAGTTTGTTTCTATAGTATAATACAAATTAAAAGATGAGTGAACCAGTAGTTCACTCTTTTGTTATGTAGTTATTTCTGTATATTATATGTTTAGATAATATGAATATAAACCCCAAGATGGTGTACATCTAAGAATGTTATGGAATGGCCAAAAAAACAACTCTTCAAGCTCAATTAAAGACTAAGTTGTAAGGTTGTATAGGTACTAAATTGTTACAATTTTCATTTTAAAAGAGCCTTTTCCGGTGGCCACATTTAGGGTGTTAGCACAGAAACACATTAATCATAGAATTATACATAATGAAGCAAATAATCCAGTCAGACATTGATAAATGAATAATGTTTTTTTCCTCAGAATAAAGATGGAGCTTTGCCTGCTGTCAGCAGATCACTGAGGCCAAGGCCTGAACCTGCGGTGACTTATGAAGAAGATGACAGTGAAGATGAGGATGATGAAGATGAGGATGATGAGGATGATGATGAGCCCAGACCCAGACCCATTGCTGCATGCTATCTGAGAGGCCCTCCAACAGGCCCCAGAGCTCAGCCTAAACAGGTTTGAGGCCAAGACACTAGAGCAGCCAGGCTCCTTCTGTGTGACTGCTTTTAATTTGCTGCAAGTTTTGTCTGGTTTGAACCTGCTTTACTTAAAATGGCTCCAAATCAAGTCTTATTATCAGTAAGCCTTTATAAAGATGATTTAAAACCTTCAAACTTCTTGTTGTGACTCAAGTTCTCAACATTTTTCCACATACAGTTTTAGTGGAGTTGTCCAGGTTATTGGCAGTTCTGAGCAAACAAGTAAATTACCCTCTTTAACAGAAAGAAATATCCAAATGGGCCGGCAGGAAAGCAGACGACCTCTGCGTGACCCCGGGGGGACGGGAACGACGAGTCCACCCGCAAAGTAGGAAATGCATGACAAACTGTGACTCAAAGGACCAAACGCATTACAGGGAAGGACGGGATGAAAGGCTGCTCCACAGAGACCGCTTTGGTGAAGAGGAAAGCTCTGTCGTCAGAGGTCCAGAACGGGAAGCTGGTACCACACAAAGGAAAGAACCGTTTTCCTGGTTTGTCTTTGTAGGTGTCTTCCTATTCTTGGGTGCTGTTCTTGGAGTTTTCCAAAGTGCATTTAAACCCTTTTGACAATAAAAACGGACTTCTGAGTTTTAGCACTGTGGAGATGGAGCTGACGGGAACACAAAGCCACTTCTCAGGACTTCTGGCCTGCCATTTTCACAGTAATAGGCTGAAATAGAAGCAGTCTTCAGTTTATTCTGCTTATTAAATTTTCATTATAGTTTAATGTGGTATGAAGGACTACTTTGTGAAAAAAATGAATCTCTCATTGGAGATGAAGGACTCCCAAGTACACTTATAATCATACACACAAATAAAACTGTCTTTGACTTTGAATCAATGGTGTGCTGTATTTAAATATCCAGTATTACATACTTTACTTGATCCTTTGTCACACAAGAAGTACCTTCAGTAAAAAAAACTGAATGCAGCTTATTGTGAACACACTGAGAATTGCTTTCAGAAAAGAGAAGGCTATGTGATGTATAGAGCCAAGCTAATTAAGTATGCTGAATATCTGAAGGCCTTTATGAAGGGCTGTGAAGGCAGCTGTCAGTCACGCTGTGAGCAGACGTACCTTGCTGCAGTAAGGACACTCTCCAAAAACAATGTTGAAGCTCTGCCTGCTGGAGGGCAGCGCTCGCAGCCACTGAAGGAAAAGGACAGAAGAGAAAAAGACTACTTCATCAAATCATTACCTTGGATCTGATGTGTCGGTGTCAAGTGACAATAATGCTTGCTTCAATGACTTTTATTACTGCACACTTAAAGGTATATTCAAGATTATCCGATACTTTAAAGCGTTTTAAGGGCTTTTATGTGGAACTTTAGAATGTCGTCCTGCCACTTTTTTAGGCTTTAAAAAGGGATCTCCGTATGCTTAGTCTCACTCAACACAGAGTATATAAATAAAATCATCCCTGCTCAGGCAGATGGAGCTAATTTCCTTTGTGCCGCAGCACCAGTCTACCTCAACAATCGCTCTCTTAACTCTTGAGTGCCAAGCAGAAAGGTCTTTTTCCATCCAACAGATCGTCTCTCAGCTGGTTGTGTCAAGTTTTTCTTCTGTGTTTCTGATAGAGCTTTGTCAAATCTGATAAGATAGCCCTGAGGATGTCATCGGGGTTTGAGATTACAAATAGTAACAGCAGCATTCACCCATTTGTGGAAGTGCAATACTAAATCAATTAACCCATTCTTTGTTATCTTCATTATCCACACACACAGATTTAAAGTAAAACAATAAACACATGAGGTGAGGACATCATATGGTGAACTGAAGCCCTGTTGTCAGCTGTTGAGGCAAAGGAAAGCACTGTGTGTTTGTGTGCGTGTCCATACCTCATATAGACAGGCCTGGTGGAAGGGCTGGCCACAGCGAGGGTCATTACACACCTGATCGGGGATCGCAGCTTCAAGACGATAGGAGTAACAGATCCCACACTCTACGCTGAAGCTCTACACACACACACACACACACACACACACAGAAATAAATGTTCAGCATGCACATACACCATGGCTACAGAAGCTGGGAAGCTTGTGCAGGGCCTCTGTAGCCACTTAGTGTTAAACAACCTTCTTCTAAAACCCTGTGCTAACATGAGCCCAAGCCTTCACCCACTCTCTCTCCAGTCCCACCATCACACACTCAACACACACTTTCTCTGCTCTCGTTTGCATTTTGGCGTAATGAGAAGCTCCTGTTTTTCTGGAGCTATCCATTAAGAGAGGATGGCAGGTAAAAAAAAGAAAAAAGAAAAATCAACATCTGGTCAACTCAACTTTTTTGCACTCCTCTGAATGTTAATGAAGCGAAGGCATTAATCACTGCTGCGACAGCGGATAAACACGACGCCCTTTTAACCCATCCGCAGAGAGGGGAGGGGAAAGAACGAGTGTTAAAAAAGAGAGATAAATGGTTTTGCGTGATTAAAGCGATTTGATAGTGCAGAGAATTCTGCCATCTTTGTTATTCTAATGATCTTTTCTGTAAACAACCCAATTAAAGGAGAATTTGTGCCCACCTCATGGAAAAACAAAACCGAGAGAGAAAGAAAAATATGGAAATAGACAGAAAAATAGGCAATAGTGTATGTCCGCCCCCTTATAACTTGAAGCTCAGACAGACACACAAACGGGAGTATGCATGCATAGATGTAAACACACACACACACACACACACACACACACACCTCCTTGAGGTAGTCGTGATAGGAATGGACATGTTTGAAATGGAGAGGGGGCAACTGTGTGACATACAGATTTTTCGTGGGTGGCAGGTGATGGGAATTCGATCTCCAAAACATCCCGGAGGTTGTGCAAGACACTGGAGTCCGGGTTCCTGCCAGCAGACCACAGACAGCTCCTTCACACACTAATTAACCACATGCAAATTAGCCTGCAAAGACACTGGGGGATGATTAGGAGACTTTCACCATTGGTATAAGAAATAAAAAAAAATTAGGATCATTTCTGCTGCTTCAAACTGAACAGTGGTGGAGGGAGACTTCTGCAGACGTGTCACGCACGGAGGCAAATGTTAAAACCTGTGGTGAAATTTTAAATCTGTACTATTATATAAATGAAGCCGTGTTTTTTTCCCCCTTCTCCTGAATGATAAGCAGAGTAGTGGAATTGGTATGCATGGTTTGACTCATGGGACACTGATATTGCACCTGCATGTAATGGTGAAAAAAAATATGTGACAAAATGCTCAAAGTCAACAAATCCCCCCAAAAGACTGAAACCAACAATGAATGTCTCCACTACCAAGTGTTGTGTGTCTATCCTTCTTCCTCAGTGCCACAGAGCTCCATTATTGTCCATTATATTGAGAGATGGACTGGTTTTGGCGTTTTTGTGGGATCTGGCGAAGTTGTAGCAAAAATCACTAAATAATCCAACTGATGTAGATCCAATTTATATTACATGTGAAATCCTCTAAACTCTTCATGTGGAAAACACAACCTTCTGTAAGTAACTACAGCTGGAAAACATTTAAACAGAAATTATTATTATAAATTGGAAGATAATGTGATAATTATATTATTATGACACGACTGCTGAAAGGCAATAAATGATGATTATCACCAAGTCCAAATGGTGAGAACCTTACCACAGGTGCATGTTGGCGTTCAGCTTATTCCTCAGCGGAGTCACCACTGCAGCAGCAAAAGAAAGGGACACACACACACACACACACACACACATTTCAAGCACCTGCAGATACACTAGCATTGTATATAAGCCCTCAGAGAATTAGACATACTCTGCATACCCTCAAACGCTGCCTCTTATTTGACAACAGCGGCGTCACCACTGTCAGATATGAACCATCATTGCCTCCTCTGTTCCACAGGGGAGCTCTGTCTCCGTGCGGCACTCATCACTTTCACTATTTGTTATTCCTACATGCAAAAACCAATATTTCTGCGTGACCCCTCATATTTGAGGGTCGCCGCCTGCCTCCCGTCTTGGTGGCTGAAGTGTGTATGCGTTTAATATTTTTTTGACTTGCATTGCTAGGCAACAGCCTAGGTGTTGCATGACCTTGGGTTTACAGAAACAATGGCCGACAATTGACGGGGACTTAAATAGAAAGCTGAAGCCAGAGTGGTGAGAATGAAAACGTGCATCAAGTCCTCTGACATGATAACAGACAACAGTCAACACAACAAGCCTGGTGAAGTCGGGACACGTGGAAACTCACTGATCTCATCTGAATAATGGTGGGCACAGGAAGAACTGATACTTTATTGCCTGGGTTGATTCTCGGCTTGCAGGTTATCCTGTGAAAACAGGCATCTGACTGCTGTGATTTGGGCTCAGGACAGTTGTTCCCATTACTGATGAAAGAATATCCATTAATTGAATCATCCATCATGTTGATTAATTCTTAATAAATCTAATATCTGAATTAATTCTTAATAAATCTAAGGAAACATGCACACCTCTTTGTTCTAGCTTCTTAAGTGTAAGGACTCACATTTCTCTTTTAACAATGTAAATGAAATATTTTGGGGGTGGGGGATAAGATTTGACTTTGACTACACGATTCATTGAAGACATAATCAACTTAATAATCGATTAAGTGAAATAACCCCAGATTCAAAATGCAACTGCAAGCTCAGTCAAACCAGCATATACAACGGCAGAATGTCTCATCTAGATCAATTCATTTCAAAAGGAATCGCTGAGCTGTACAGATTTGTGAGGCACTTTTACAGAGTTGTATGAGGGTCGACTTGAACTGTTTTCTAATTCAAAGCCGGCTTGATAGGAAGGGCATAATCCCCCCCAAAGTTGAAGTTTGTTTGATTTAACTAATCACTGTCCTCTGACAGCTGGCAAAACAGCCAACATTTGAGTTGCCTTTGATTATTAGCTTGTTTTCCAAGCAGTATTAGAAAGCTTTGTGCGCAGTGCTTGCTGGACTGTTTTTGCCCTGGGTGTCCCCTCTCAGGCCCCATAGGCGCTGTCCTAACCTAATTGATGGAGCTTGTTGAGGCTGAACGCAGCCTGAGAGGAAGACCTGCAGAACAGCGATCTGTGCTTGTTTTGTTTCTGATGACACTGACCAGCTAAGGACAGTGTCCCTGAGACAACAACAGATATTTGGTTTGCTCTTTATTTCATTTTCTCTCCAAAAGTAGAATGGGAGCTCCTCTTCTGTGGAACCAGGTCCCAGTTTAGGTTCTGTAGGCAGACATCATCTCCACATTTAAGAGTAGGCTTTAATGGTGTGTTCACACTGAAAGCGAATCCTGCGTTTTGCGCGGCTGGATTAAATGCAAATACAAAGATGCGAATTCGCTCCGGGAGATGCTGGTTTGCTTGAGTTCAAATTTTTTTCAACTTGAGTGAGAAATTCGCATGACATTATGTTGCGAAAGCCTGTCAGCAGTGAGATTGTCCGGACGTCACAGACAGCTTCAGATCGTCATTTGTAGAGGAGCTGCTAAACTACGGGGAAGTGTAGAAGAGCGAGCCGGGAACAGCGCTGCAGCTTTTGGACAAATAAATGGACTGGATTATGCTCTGACAACTCAGCCGTTTAATAGCAGGAGGAGCTCAGAGTTAACTGCTTCTTAGCTTTTTACTTTAGTTTTTGGGACTACACCGTTGATTTATCTTCACTCGAGCTTCTCAGCAGCTAGCTTCCGCGCATTTCCGTTTCCACTGCTAGCGTTGGTCGGCACCCAGAGCTCTGTTAAAACTACTACTTCATATTTATATAAAAACGGACAAAACTGGACATTGCTTGGACCAGGTAGTTGAACTAAAATGTGTGCCTGTAACTTTATTCCAGCTATTGTTGTACTTTACTGCAAACAAGTTAGCACAGCATAGCCCTGATCGAGCCGAACTCCATTCAGAAACTAACATTTTAAAAGTTGTTGTCCTGCTGATAGACCTGACAAAGCATGAATTCATGTGTCTAACACATCAGCATCAAATTGTAGTTATTTGGACATCAGTTTGCTTTACTAAAAGCTTTACTTTGGGTTCATGTAGCTGTGTGTACATTCGCGTTATTGTGTTGTGCTGTCCAGCGATAAAACCCCGCGAGGATTAAATTAGCATTGTATGTGAACACACCTAGAGATTTTCTTCTTTGATAAAGCTTATAGTTAGGGCTGGCTCAGGCGAATCCTGAACCATCCCCTTAATTATGCTGCTAAAGGCCTAGACTGCCAGGGGACTTCCCATGATGCACCTCTATCCATCTGTATGCATTCTTATCCCATTAATACATGTTACTAGCTCAACGTCTTAATGTTGTATGCATGTTTTTTTTCTGGCTGAAGGACCCCTGACTTTGTCAGCCCCACTTCTAAAATCAAACTTACCCCTCTGCTTGACAGTGCTGCTGACCTTTGAAATATATAGAATGAATAATCCTAAAAGACTGAAGAGTCATATTAGACCAAGCTTGCAGTACCAGCTGTTTCATTAGGAAGTAGATGCACTGCATTGTGCCACTTTCTAGTGTTACCATTTACTTGCTGTCTATTTTGTCAGTTAGTAAAATTTCCATTGGTGTCATCTCACCTGCAATTCCTAAAAGTACCTCAAGAAACGTTTTACTCACAAACCTCACTGGCTCCTGATAACTGCATTCTAAAGAGGAGACGATTTCAAATGCAATTATACAGTGTGTCAGTTTTTGGTGTGTATTAGTGCAGATACACTTCTTGTCCTCTTACAGTGCCTGAAAACACACTTTTAAGTGTTGCCATGTCTCTGGGTCCTACCCACCGTGCTCGGGTCCCAGCAGGCAGCACTCTGGCAGCATTTTCGGGTGTCTGGGATCCACCTCCACTTTAATGGATACGTTATTTCCTGCACACACAGATAGGGATACCCAACAGTTTGCTTTGTTGTCATATGGATTGTTTAGGGTTACTGCATGTGTGATATTCAGTGTTGATCAGCAGCACGATCAACATCAACTTCTGAAGTCCAATGAGATGCCGTGCAGTATGTGATACTAGGGTATACATAGAAACTGTCAGACTAGTCTTTTTGCTGAGGCCTTCATGTGTACCGTACCGATGGCGATCCGCCTCATGGTGTGGGACCGGTTGGGTTTCTCCGGCTCCAGAATCCAGGTCTTACTGTCAATCTCATCTAGGACATCCCAGAACTCGGTCAGGGACTCCAAAACCAGCAGGAACTGCTTGTGGAGATTGTCCAGAGTACTCTAACAAACCAGATCAGAACAAGCACAGCGGTCACTACTGGAGAATTCCTAGGTGCTCCATCAGCAGGGGATGGGTGTCCCAAATTTACTGGCAATTGTTTAACTCATTTAGCCCAAGACCACATGTCAACCTCATGATGGCGTCAGTGGAAAAGTCAGAGGATCATCAAAGTAATTAGGATTAATCATCTGGGAAACATGAATGTTTGTGTAAAATTTCACGGCATCCCTACATCCATGCTGCTAGTATGGCTACAAATGCCAAACACCCTGGCTCCAGCTTCCCAAATGTTGGGTTGGATTGTTTTTCTAGTAGTAAACTGAATTTCTTTAGGTTTTAGACAAAAGAATTACAATACAAAATACAAGTTTTCTGATATTTTATAGATGGAGCTAGTAATGAATTAACTGCAAGAAATAACTAGAAAAAGTGCTCAGCTGCTGCGGCACCACAATGTAGGTTAAATTAAGCTAACCAAAGAACAGAACGCCTCCCAGCTTGGAAACAGTAAACGGTGATTAGGTTCATGTTCAGAAGGGCAGAGAATCCTTTAAATGTTATTATTTAGTGTTGTAATTACATCAAAATACCACACTTAGAAGCTGTGAATGAGTTTATGATACAACCAAATGCAGTGGGCTTCGACTGCCACATCTCATTTGCGGCAACTGGAGTGAACTAGTTGACCAGTTGGTAAGAACTGTAACAACTTAAGGTGCAGTCATGGTCATACGCATTCAGAGAACAGAAAGGGAGGCTGATAGAGGTGGCTGAGAGCAATACAGATGGAACGAGGGGGAAAAAATTAGGGGGGAAAAAAATGAACCAAAAATTATGGGTCATTGTGCCAGCACAGTGCACACAATTAAGCATCGCCCAGGTGCTGAGAGCCTCAGCAATTACAGCCCAATTAATGCCAGTGGCATGATTACGGTTACAGCTCAGGATAACTACGCTAGGCCTAGTTCAGAAAGAAAGAAAAAAAGCTGGTAATTGAATTCCGGCTGTATCTGTGAGAAGAACACGAGTGAGAGCGGAAGGCTGCAAGAAAGTATGAAAGAGACTGAATCTGAGCGGAGATATTATCTATTTATGCTATCTCTGACTGACCTCAATTTAGCTCTTAAAAGCAGCCAGCCTGAAAGAATTCCCTTCTCTTTACATGCACGCCATTAAACGCTACAGCTTTAACCTATTTTCAATAAATTCTTTTTCTCACTGAGCGGCTTCTGATTTATAAAAAAGGCATTAAGAATTATTCACTCATTATTGAAAAAAATGTTTCCACTGCTTCAGACTATTCTCACCTGATAACAACTCACTATATGTTGAGTGAGTGAAGACTTTACATTTGAAAATGGACACATGCATTGTTCATATGTTCAAATAAGAGGGTATGATTGTGTGTGTATGAGCCGTCACTTGGGTGCTTTGGTGTGGTGGTGTAATCTGATTTCATTCTCTAAGAGGTAAGGAGGTTTGATCTCTAAGGTTGTGTATCATTATGTATATTAGCAAATGTACATTTATTTATTACTCATCTATTAATTATTGTTGCCCTTCTGAGATGGCCATGACAGTAAATGTTCACTGGGACTGTCTTGACTTTGTGTTAATGATTTGTTATGTTTGCCATCTTTTTTCCCCCCTCTTTTTTATCCAGTAGCTAAAAATTCTAATAACAAAAAGGTAGAGTTTACAGAGAGCAGGGGTAAAATGTTCTCTCTACAGGATTGGAAGGGGAATCGTTTGGGTACAGAGGTTGCTCTTTTGCTTTGCTGGGTTTATTATGGACACATGGCAGAGTGTGTGCACATAAAGACGACACTTTATAAAATGTATGTTTATGTATATTTGTGTCTTTATCGTATTCGTTGTGACCAAAGCATTTGTCCCAATTCTGACTTGACTAAATGCCACGTAGCACCAACTGCTAAACATTTTTTGCACATTAAAGTGGTCAAATTCAAATGATAAAATATTAACCCAGAACAGTGTATACGAATGGCCAGTGCTGAGACAGTTCATTGAGTGATTGTTCAATAATTTGATTCCAAATCATCAATCAAGCATTACATTCTCAGAGGCATTTATCCAAAGCAACTTTCATTGTTTTCCCACATCTACATATAGTTGTAGGTATTTGAGGTTCAGCGTGTTTAATGATACTTTGACACAGGGACAGGAGGACCTAGGGAAGCGGAACACCACCAACACCCCACCCCACTCTCCAACCTGAGTTGCAGCCATCTCAAAATAAGCAAACCACCTGAAAGAAATGCACAGTTTGAAGACATCTCTTTGTTCACTGGTAACTTGGAATGGGCATCTGTCTTTTTTTTTTTTTAACATTAAACAGACACAACAATGAATCACAAAATGAATCTGTAGATGAACTGATCAATAATGAAGACCATAAGTTTTCGGGGAAGTACTGACAGCTTCACACCTACAGTATCAGCTATGGCCTTCAAAAACATTTATTGGTTGAATTTAAGAAACTTTATGTTGCTTGGATACAACACACACACACACACACACACACACACACCAGCAGCTCAGGTGACCACACTCATGTTCACCTTTATTCACACCGAAACCTTCTCCCCTTCTTAATTCATGCAGTTTTTAGTTGTTAAAAATCACCTTTGTATAGTCTGCAAGCACACAGGACACAAAATTCTCACACACACACACACACACACACACACACACACACACACAGGTTTATTTCGCTTCCCATTCAAATGCACAGAGTGGCATGTCTTGGCCCTGCAACAGAGCAGGCAATAATTACTCATTCAAATGAACATGTCAGGACTGCCGACAGACAGGCCCCCCCCCCCCCCCCCCACACATCAGACAAAAACACACTTGGCACAGATGCAAGCACATACACACACGTATACACACACTTCGTGTTGCAGTGTGGGAGAGATCCATCAACGGCCCAGCAGGCAGACAGGCTCCATACGGTAGTGCTGTTCTAAGCTGGTCCTCACTGTACGCCTGCCATGTATCAGTGCGCCAGTGCACGCGCACACACTCACACAAATATGTGTGCACATTAGCATCTCTCTGCTCAAATTCTCTTTCTCACCGTTCTGATTTTTGCCTACAGTCACACACACACACACACACACACACACACACAGAATGGTCCAGCAATGCTCAGATACAGAGCAGTAGTTTTTATGATTGGTGTGATTGAAAAAAACAACAAAAAAAAAACAAAAAAAAAAACAAAAAAAAAACAAGGATAAAAAATAAGACATCTGTGTGAGTGAGTGAGTGACACACAGACTCAGAGGCAGTGACAGAGATAAAAAGGAGAGCCAGAGTGGAAGAAGCAAGACGGCAAACAACAATAACGAGGAAGCAAAGAGATACAAAGAGCCCACAGCTGGTTTTACATCAAAACAGTTTTATGCCAATTACAGTGGACTACATTTGAGGGGCTGAAAGAAAATGTCTTCATACAGCAGGTGGAGAAGTGTTCTGTCACATTATGCAATAGGTAGAAATGGGATGAGTCAAGTGTATTTGTGTAGCCCTTAATGAGTTTGAGTGTCAAAGGGCCTCAAAACGTCACATTACAAAACATCAAATCCATCCATGGAAACATCAATCCTGGCCACATTGGAGGCTCTGAGGTTTAGCAGAAAAGAATCTCAAAATAGAATCAATCATTATTGTTTACGTGTCACTGTCTCTCACTGTGGCCTCTAAATTTTCAACTGCCAAAATCCAGTTAAGACAAGAGAGAAGTTGATTTGCTCTTCTGAATAAGCTTATTCTCTTTCACCTGTCAGGCTACATGGCTGCCCTACCCTCTGATTGGTGGAGGCTGCTGAGGGCTTATAAAGACCGTATGATATGATCGAGCTCCTGAACTGTTAATTGTTTTGTGATTTTTTAAATTTTTTGTTCAGAGGTCAGAGTGATTTAACCTTCCTACACTACGATGGTTGCATTAGAACTTGATCAGAGCAGCAGGACAGCAGGTTTTTATGAGCTTACAAACACAACTAAGAACTTCAGGAGCCTGAGTGATGACTTACAGATAAGCGGAGCATTGCAAGTTAAACAAAATGAATAAAAGTTTAAAAAATGTGACTTCCTAAGGACATTAGTGATTTTTTTTAATTGAAATTTTTTAGTGCATTATTGTGTAGCTGTTTTCTGGATTTAATCACAGTGGAATGCATACAGACTCAAGCTGCATGAAAGGAAGGTTAATCATTAAAACAGTATACAGTTGCATGGCCTTTACGTGCTTGCTGACCATTTTCATATTTGTAAGCCTTTAAATTGATCCTTGTATCAACCCAAATATTTGACCTCAGAAAGCGGTTATTAATGTTTGATTCACTGTTCAATGTTAATTCTTGTGGTTTTAAATTTTTGATTTAGGCTTCAGTTTTATGCATGCCAGTTTCAGACATTTCTAAAATAGTTTTTGATTGGCAAGATACTTGAATTTTTTTGCTGATGAAAGTTACGCTTTGTTTGTATCAACTCTGCTGACAGAAAAGCAGCATTTCAGATGTTAACCAAAAATTCTATTTAGAAATGCACATGTACATACCTGTGGTGTCCAGGTTAAGGCCAGAGGGACTGGCAGGTCAGCTGAGCATTCAGGAGCCTCTGCAGGGTGCTGTGGGTGTAGAAGATGGGATAGTGGTGTTGCTTAAATGAAGACATCGTTAAAATGTAAAAGCTAATTGATCTTCTGATCCCTCCAAGTTTGACAGGAAGCCAGGGACTACACCTTTGATTTGCTGTGAGAATATGTGAAATGTGTACCCAAACTGTTTCAATAAAAGATTAGGAGAACAGAAAGCACAGCAACAGTAACTAAGGGGGCGGGGCTTAGTAAACATTTAATTACTACAGCAATACATCATACTAAATTTATCAGGCGAGCCATAAAACAGGTTGTTCCGCCCCTTCTTAATGTTTTTTTGCTGGCTTTTATTAGAAAGTTGCCTTTTTTTGTCTGTGCTTATTATTTGAACACATTAGTGCTGGTCAGCTTTAACGTGTTGCCAAGCTTCAGTCAGTACACATAAGCCAGATTTCCTCTCTCTGTTCACCTTATTCATCAAGTTACTTTCTGTCCTTTCCCTGTGCTCTTCCTCTCTCACTTCCCTGCCATCCAAACCTCCACGTGTCCATGCCAGTGCTGCCTCCTCCCTAACTGTGCCTGGTGAGGGATGACCTGGCGCTGGATCTGGTGGAAGCAGCTGGAACACAGGGAGGACTCCAAGCTATTTTTATTCGGTGCCAGAGGGGTGAGGAGGGCCAGGTGGGCAGGTGGGCACAGAGTGGGGTCCCGCCACCCCCCCTTGTCCCTGGTGGATGTCATCTGGGCTTAGGTAAGCATCACCTCACCATGCCACTCACCCACAATGCCCCACTGTGAGATACTTACAGTCCTGCCAGCCACTAGACACTTCATTCTTATGAGTTTCAGAGATCCAAAGAACCTGTACCTTTACTTATACTATAGTAAAATGTTCTAAAGTCTACTGGAATCGTCTGGAAAACAGCCACCATCATACCTGTACCCAAGAGACCCCGTTTTTATGTTGGACTGGCTGTGAAAACAAATCTATCTCTGTGACAAGAAAGTCTAAATCTATATATATCCTTTAAGATTAATACAAGGCAATAACATCTGACAATAATGCAATTTTTATTAATATCCTTTTTACGACAGGACTTTAAGGTCACAATGATTGAATTCATTCTACATTATCAGATTTTGAGCATGTAGATGTAAATAAGGGGTGTAATGATACACATTCATACCTTGGTTCCCCTGTTACATTACGGAGCGACAGTGAACGCAACACTGCAGATGTCACAGACTATCGTTAGTTTCGGTCCACTTGAAAAATTAATCACAGTTGAGGTTATTCAACAACTTTATCACACACACACACACACACACACACACACACACACACACACAGAGAGACAGAGAGAGAGAGAGAGAGAGAGAGAGAGAGAGAGAGAGAGAGAGAGAGACAGAAAGTGGTGGAGCAAGCCGGTGTGTTTGCCATGAGAGACCAGAGGTGCAGGCTCGGTGTGTGTGAGTGTGGGGAGAAGAGAAGAGGAGCAGATTCAAGTAGTATAAATAAACACTAAAATTACCTACAATAATCTACTGTCAATAAAAATACGATATACACTGCCACCCGAATAAAAAAAATAAAACGAAAATCAGTATGTGGCAGTTGATATTGTGGCGGGTCGCCACAAATAAATTAATGTATAGGAAACACTGCCTTTCCTCTGTCGCTGCTGCTCTGTTGTTGCCGCAGTGGTCTGAGTAACTGGGACCAGGCTCTGTGGGCGTGACTGGCCGGCCGCAATAGTATGAACCTGCAGTTTCAGGCATAGACAGTATATTACTGGACGAAGCCACCCCACTGATTTGAATGGAGAGCAGTGAAGCCAGTTTTGGACCAATAAAATACTACTACAGGGCCGCTTCCTGTTGGCACCAGCATGTACCCCCACAATCCTGGGACTGCAGTTCTAGGACCCTAGCTCTTTTGCGACAGCTCTATCTAGTGGAGTGGTGCTTGTAATACATTTTCGATTCGATTCAACTTTGGTAAAACTGCCAATATTCAAATTCTACACAGTTGATTTCTCGCCTCAAAACCTAAATAAAGTGTATTTAGTAATAGCGTCCAAAACTTGTAAAAACGAAAGCCATTCTGCTCTTAGCCTCTTTCTCCATTACTTTCTGCTTCTCGCATGACAGCTTCTTCTTCGTGAGTAGTCTTACAGTCAAGCAGTCATGGCAGACAGTGGAAGCAATACTGCCCTCAGTACTTCCTGCAGTGCATTGCAGTTAGAAATAAATAACCAGAAATGTTCCTAATATGAAGATTGCGTACCTCTACCTAAAACGGCATCTGTGTAATGATGCGTCGACAGTGAAATTTCGCGTCGAAATTTTTTTATAGTAGATGTCGTCAATTACGTCGACTAACTGTTGCAGCCCTACACCAGACTATAATTTACCTTTACCTACTGTACCTGAAGGCTTTGTGTGCTTCTCTCAATAGCAGCGAGCAAAGACAGCCGCTATGCAGATGAGTGTGGGTGTATTGGTTTTCTCTATGCATAGAGGAAGAGTTTTCCCATCATGCTGAGGTCTATGTGGAGATGTTTTATCTGCGCTACATCTCAGTCACAGCGGGTTATCATGTCTCTCCACATCCTCTCCAGTTTGACCTAGATTTAGAGGCGCAGATGTAAATCACTGATTTGCTATCAGCAAATTGAACATCCCAAATGGTGAAGACGGACTGTTTGGATTTGGATTGGCTGTAGGTCAACCTCAAGCTGTAGAGTATTCCATTTGATGATGAATAATTTTCAGCGTGGAAATGATCCTGTCTTTACAGTTAACTGTGTGTGTTTCTGAGCGTGCAGGAAAAGAGAGTGTGTCTTACCTTGGGCTTGAGTTTAACAGTGAGAACATGCTGCCTTCCAGAGGAGTCCTCCGCATTCAGTCTCAACGTTCGGAACTCCGTGTCTATGAAGAGCAGCCTGAAGATTGACGCACACAATACATACACAATAAATCATCATCCATTGAGAGAGAACGTTACACATAACACTGTAAACTGACAGCAGCCATCATCCGTCATTAATCACAGCTGCAGAGAGCAATATTGAGACATCAACTCTGCCTTTAGATTTATCACTCCGGGGACCAACACGGTGACGTTCATCAGGCTACAGCCCCACATCCAACTACAGGCTTTTCTGCTCAAAATTCTAATTTGCATTATTCTCCAGCAAGTGCCTTCTTAATGCTCTAATGGAGGAATATAACAAATCCAATCACGCTGGAGCTGAGGGTATTATTTTCATGCTGAGTCACCACAGGAACACACTGGATTTCTGCTTTCTAATAAAACTGTAACCAAACACACTGACTGCATGTGATGTACCTGAATATATTTCTAGAAAAGAAAAACATTTGAAAAAATGTTTTTGCAGGTTAAGCATAATTCAATGCAAGTACAATGCAATCAAATCAGCCAGACCACATTTGTTGGTGGTACTAATTCATCATTTTTTATAAACAATGGCTCAAATTACTATGTGTAATGTGAACGGGGTCATTTGTAGTGATTACGGTAATTATCACCAACTCTACAGTTCCCTTCAGCTCTCTTTCTCTTTAAGCGCCTTTCAGCTCATTCTTTTGGTTTTTACTTGTTGCAACATAACTGGGTCATCAACCTAGTGTTTAGCAGCAGCAGGCAGCTCTGGCTAAGGAGGAAGAGTTGGTGAGCACTTGTTAGGACCAGGTTAAAATAAGGCATTCATGTTTTGTCATATTGTCAAGGTTGGGTGAAGTATGGGTTTAGAGTTTGCTTAAAGACACAGGACAGAACACACGCCCCACTGACTGCTGGTGGGGATAAACAACACCTCTACTATTTGAGTAAAATAATTTAACACTTCCGACTAGAATAGTCAGATTTAAGCTCTCACAAAATGGTATGTCTCCTGGTGACCATAAGGTGTGTTCACATTTTCAAGCTTGAGTCAACCTGTAAATCAGACGCCCTCCTTCCTGAGCTAATTATAACCTACTGAGGCTGAGGACAAAACCCTGATCTGGCCCGAGCATGCAGCAACACTGTGGTGAGATTTACTGCTGCTCCAGCACACTATGGAGGAGTCAGTTCCTTCCCCTCTCAAGTCCTTCTCTAGTCTACTGAGCCCTGAAGACAAAGGATTTGGACAGTCCTCCTCCAGATTTACAGTACATAACGATGGATGCTCTGCGCCGAGGCTGACATGGCTGTATATCTGCTGAGGATTTATGGAGTATGTTAGAGAGGAGTGATGTGAGCAGGGTGCTCAGGAATGACACACACACACTTAGGGAAGTGATGGAATGATGGGAGACTGTGTCAGATGTGCCCGATTCATAAAAGTGTCTGCTCGCTCACACACTTGCAATCAAACGCAGGCGAAGGGCAACAGTAGTGTGAAGTTGCTGAAGTGTCATACACAATATCATGATCGCACCGATGCGACTGTGTTCCATTCCTGCATGCTGACCTGATAAATTTCTGCTCCACACGCTTACTCGATTTTACAGTCTCTTGAGATCATTTGCATATTAAGATCTCCCAAACACATGGCGCTATCTGTTCCATATAACACACACACACACACACACACACACACAGAGCAACATTTAAGGTGTCAATACCGATATCACCGTCATGTACCGGTCCGAAATATATACCCGCAGCGTATTACTTCTGAAACAGACAATACCCAGTTTACTTTCTATCCTCAGGTACACATTCACAAAGAGTACAGACCCATAAAATACCATTAATGCTAACAGCAATAAATGACCTATGTAGGTGAATAAAGTGACAAGCATCCAAATGAATAAATCAATAAATAAGAAGTTTAATTGTTGAAATAAAGTGATGGTGATTTGATGAATACGTGAATAAAATAATGCCAGTGCTCTCAAAAGGAAAATCTGTTTCTTTTTTATCCTATTTCACTCATGACACCAGAGTAAATCACTGCATATCCTTTGTATGTCTGCAGTTTCCACTCTTTTAGGTCTAATGGGAAAACACACTCTACAAGGTTTTAGCAGGTTTTAAAAAGCCAAATGTTAGACACGGTAACACCTTTTTCAAGCCACCTGGAATTAAATTATTATTTTAGCACCCAGTGCTCTACATACAGGACACTTGCACTTTGTACAGACTGTTTTCACTAGGAAAAGCTACATGACTACATGTATTGAGAGCACTTTATCCAATCCAAATCAAGAACGAAAATAATTATAACTCTAACACTTGTATTCACCTTCAGTTGCATGAAAGTTTTACTTGGTCATTCTCAGTCATTAATCAGCTGGGTGATTTCTGTAGATTAGAGTATCCCAACTGTTTGTCGTCTTGAACTACAAAAACAAGCCTCACTCGCGACTTTAGAGTGGTGGTGTAACGTTTGATTGGTTAAAACGATAAACATGAAACACCTAATCATGGTATCTCCAGGTCAGTGGATGTTAAAGAAAAATAAGGCGAGGTATAAAGTAGGGCTCTCATGGTAAGACACAATAATATTCAGTTGTATTTCATAAAGCAGAGATAATATTATACAATTTATTTCATGGTGTATTAAGAGAGGACAAGTTAGACGAGTACTCAGTATAGTATGAACTTTTAAGGTTTAGTACTCAAACAGTATTGGCAGCGAAAAAGTCTCATTGGTGCATCTCTAACACACACATTTCCATCTCCTCTCCTCTGAGGTCTCACACCCAGGATAGCAGGGACTAGCTGCCGCCCCTACTTGGCCATGATGGAAACAGCGTGACAGTCAGACGTCCTGCTGGGAAGACTGATGAGAGCATCCCCTTTGCAACTCCACAGCCAAGTGAGCTGCTTCCAGACAGTGCACACCACGCACATTTGTGCTCGTGTGTGTGGGTGGGTGAGCGCGTTTCTGAATTTTTTTTTGTGCCGACAATGTGATTAATGAACGGTGAGATCAACACATATGTAGTGCTTGTGGGTGCTGCATCAGAAATTCACATGCAAAACGATGGCAAACAAGGTGCGGCGGAGGAAATATAGGACGATGTAAGTCACATGCACACAAACAATGTATGTGCAAATAAAGTGCATAAAAACACACACACACATCTTATAAAGCACAGAGACACCTATCTATTAATTAGCTGGGTTTGCATTCTAACTGTGCTAACCAGGACATTCTCATTACTTACTGGGCATAACTGCGTAAATCCCAATACAGTTTGTGACTGCATTTACATCACATGATCTTAGGAGTCATTTATTAGCTGGCCTAGTAACGTAACAAAATAAATATCAAACAAAAACCCCATGTTAGAAATCTAATCCCCCAGCCCTGGGCCTGGTTGGCCCAATAGAGCCCTCCTGTCAGAGAGCCGCAACACCATGTGCCAGAGCGATCAGACTGTGATAAGAAGAGACGACGCTCTGTGCGTACACCAAGAGGCTGTGAACATGGAGTGCCAGCTGGGCCCGTAATGAGCCGCGGAGCTTCCAGGGCCACGTTTTTGGGCCACCGAGTGCTGGTGGCTGACCTACTTGACCTCATTTTCCATTAATTAACAAATGGTATGCCATCTCCAGCCAATTAAGATGACCACACTCTCAAATGCAGAGATGGAGACACAGAGAGAGAGCAAAGACACAGCGAAAGACTCACTTACCTGGCCCAATCAGAGGACAGAATTATAGCTGAAAATCCCTGGTGGCTATTAGCACGACCCATACCAATTAAGACGCTAAGCGAATCTCGAGTGCTTTGGAGATTGAGGCCCACTGTGTATAATGCCTCCTAACCGTAACACGACACTGAAAATGATGTTGGTCCCATTTCTAGCATAACGCATACCTTCACCCCCCTCCCCCTCCTATTAAAACCTGAGAGTCTTCAATTAGAGCCATTTGCATTTAGCTAATATCATAATTGTAGCCGTGGTCATTAATAGGAAAGTGGAAAATGAGTGTAGTAGTTAAGGCTTAATTCGGGCTGGGGGAGAATAGATATCTTCCTACTTACCACCACCCCAACCCCCCCCATCCTTCTCTCCTGACGAGTGGAGACGACGGTATTAGCTGGGCCTATCACCGCACGTGTGCCGAGAGTTATTAAATGTGACCTGGATTTAACTGTAACTCAATAACTAAAAATAAGGAAGTCATTAAGAGTCATTTGTTAATGTGGAGCTGTGCTGTTGCAGACTCTCCATTCAGTTTAGACTGCTGGGAAAAAAAACAAGGACTGCTCCATAAAGCAGTAGAGGTTTCCCACCCTATATAAAACTTGGTACGTTAATCTTACCTCGGGGGGAAAATACACAAAAGTAAAAAAACTATAACAATAACTTACAGTTTCAAAAATAACTTCTCCTTGTCTCTGGTTAGTGAGTCTTACAAATACAGCAAACTCTGTAGTCTACAGCAGAAGCAACAAAGTTCAAGGTGTAGCTTCTATGAAGAAAAGCAGAGCCACGGAGTTGAGATCTAAATCACTGTGAAACAAGCTCCATCAGCAAGCTACTCTGCAGAAAAAAGGCTTTCAAAGTATCCTGGGACAAAGTAAGTAGGGATGGGACCCCCTTGAAAACACACAGTGCACACCGAGCGATGCTTTAGTATGCATCAGATTCCAGCATATGGGTCTGATCAAAAAGACTAAACTCACTCAAAAAGCTGTGCATGGACGTCACATTAATCACAGGGATGGGCATTTGAAGCACCGTCACTGAGAACTAGTCAACCATTTTTCGAAGACACTACCAAAAATGGAACCCATCTCTAATTCAGTTGACTGAATTCTTAAACTTCACAGCAGTTTGTTTAAAAGTAGTGAGCAGAAGGAGCTGAGTGACAGCTGGTGATGGAGGAACCCTCTGTCAGATACGTGAAGCAGAGCTGAAACGATTAATCAGCTGTTTGTTATTTTAAAGATAGCGATTATAAAGACAAAGAATCTGGGTGAAAGAATGTATTAGCACACGCAGCGTAGCAGGGATCGTCTGAGCTACAGAGAGAGCTGGAGACAAAGTAGCTGCCTGCTCTCATTGGCTGAATGTGGATGTCATGTCAGCCGACTCCTCCAGATGCTAGATATCTGGCAGACGTCGGCGATGTGTCAAAAATGCGTCAGGGAGCCGTTTTGATGCGTTGAGTAGTTTGCACATAACGAATGGCAGCTGCTGGTCAATTACTGATTTACCCCTGATCACAGCCTGACGGTCGCTGAGCTCACCGACTGGCAAATCAATCATCATTGTAAACTGAAAATCTTTTGGGTTTGGACTGTTGTTCAGACAAAAAAAAAAAGTTATTTAAATGTGTTACATTTTGCTCTGTGACTGTCTCCTGATTTCTACACAAAATGATTGATCGCTCATCAGGAAACTAATCTGCAAATTAATTTATAAAAACAATAATTTGTTAACGTTGCTATTGTGAAGGCAATGGACGGCTGGTTTAGATGGCTTAACATTATATTTTAGTTCTAAACATAAAACAAATACATAGGAAATTACTTGTGTACCACATTTGGCCCCACTGGAAAAAATAAATAAAGAATAATCCTTTTAAAATCAACCTACGAATCAGCAATTGGAAATCATCTCCAATTGCACCTCCATGCATGCCAAAGTTAGTCATGGAGTTCCTCAAGGATCGGTCCTCGGACCAATCCTCTTCACTTTATATATATGCTTCCTTTAGGCAATATTATCAGGAAATATTCCATAAGCTTTCATTGTTATGCAGATGATACTATATATCTATCGATCAAACCAGATGAAACTCATCAGTTAGCTAAACTTCAAATGTGCCTTCAGGATGTTAAAACCTGGATGACCTGTTATTTTCTAATGTTAAACTCAAATAAAACTGAAGTTATTGTTCTGGGGCCTAAGCACCTCCGTGACGCATTATCTAAAGATATAGTTTCCCTTGATGGCATCGCCCTGGCCTCCAGCACCACAGTGAGGAATCTTTAATCAGGACATGTCGTTTAAGTCTCACATTAAGCAAATTTCAAGGACCGCCTTTTTTCACCTACGTAATATTGCGAAAATCAGGAACATCCTGTCTAAAAATGATGCAGAAAAACTAGTCCATGCATTTGTTACTTCTAGGCTGGATTACTGCAATTCCTTATTATCAGGCTGCTCGAAAAATTCCGTTAAGACTCTTCAGCTGATCCAGAATGCTGCAGCACGTGTTCTGACAGGAACCAGGAAAAGAGATCACATTTCTCCTGTCTTAGCTTCTCTGCATTGGCTTCCAGTAAAATCCAGAATAGAATTTAAAATCATTCTTCTTACCTACAAAGCTCTCAATGGTCAGGCACCATCTTATCTTAAAGAGCTCATAGTACCTTACTACCCCACCAGAGCACTGCGCTCCCAGAATGCAGGGTTACTTGTGGTTCCTAGAGTCTCCAAAAGTAGACTAGGAGCCAGAGCGTTCAGCTATCAAGCTCCTCTCCTGTGGAACCAGGTTCCAGTTTGGGTTCAGGAGGCAGACACCATCTCCACATTTAAGAGTAGGCTTAAGACTTTCCTCTTTGATAAAGCTTATAGTTAGGGCTGGCTCAGGTGAGTCCTGAACCATCCCTTAGTTATGCTGCTATAGGCCTAGACTGCCGGGGGATTTCCTAGGATGCACTGAGCTCCTCTCTCCTCTACTTTCTCTCCCTCTGTATGCAACCTCATCTCATTAATGCATGTTACTAACACAACTTCTCCCCTTTCTGGTAGTCTTGTGCTTTCTCGTCCCTCTCCTCTCTCCTCCTATCACTTCCTGCAGGTTTTCTGGCTCTGGAGCTGTGGAGTCTGGATCTGTGGTTGCGGGTCACCTGCTGCCCCTGTGTTCCTGCTCAACACCCTCTGCTGCAACGACTATTGTTGCTAGTCCTATTGTTATTATTGTTATTATAATCATTAACATTACGATTGTTATCATTAACACTAATATAAATATCTGTACCATTTTTCATTTAGTCTATAGCAACATCACCTTTACCGTCTGTACCTCTGTGTGTATATTGTCTCTCTCTCTCTCTCTCTCTCCCTCTCTCCTTCACCCCAACCGGTCGAGGCAGATGGCCGCCCACCCTGAGCCATGGTTCTGCTCGAGGTTTCTGCCTCTTAAAAGGAAGTTTTTCCTTGCCTCTGTCGCCTAGTGCTGCTCTTGGTGGGAACTGTTGGGCTTCTGTAAATAGCATCATAGAGTACGGTCTAGACATGCTCTTTTATGAAAAGCGCTGTGAGATAACGGTTGTTGTGATTTGGCGCTATATAAATAAAATTGAATTGAATTGAATCTCTTCTATTGTAGATACAATTGCTACCTTCAACACTTAGCCACAAATAATACAGGTGAGCAGTCTGTCACACATGTAGGCCTGGCAAGTGTGGTGGCAACATCTATACGCTTAGTGGCTTATGTTCCTTTAAAACCTGGATCCAGATACTGTGTTAGTGCTCTTAGTAGTCACTTACTTGACCCACCCAAGGGTCTCCATCTCAGAGATGAGCTGAGAGTAGTACTGTGGAGGCGGGATGGAGCGGCACTCAGGATGGCTCTTCAAACCCACTTCCTGCAACAGCAGAGAGAATGCTCCTTATTTTAAGGCCAGATTACTGTGCGCATCATATCACAACTTCACCACTCTGCACCATTTCTTTCTACTAAAAGCAAGCAACATAAATACAGAAAAAATGAACCAGGGCCAATAAGTCCTAAGCCCATGTTTGGTGGCAAGACCAAAGTTTGTACCTATTATATCTAATAACATATATATATATATATATATAAATACATGTGTACCTCACATTCAAGGATGTTGATGGTGCCTGAAGGTTACCACTTACTCCCTATTCATAAAGCAACAATGTCAAAATAATGTCAAAGTGACCGTGCTAACCACTATGTCATTCTCCTCCTTACCAAGACAGTCTTCAGCTCCAGAATGAAACTGACAAGATCAGTCGACTGCTGCAGCCTCTGTGAAAAGTCAAACAAGAGAGAGAAAAGACATCCTTGAATGGGAGGATAATGAAGTGACAGTGTCTATTTTTTTCCTCTAGCCAGCCATTCAAATCAAACACAGTGTTTGTGATTAATGGGGGCTGCCACCAGCTTTAATAATTAATGATAGCTTAAAGGCTGTGAAAATAATGAACTTTGCAGCCCGGGGTGAAATATCAATCTCATCCAAATAACCCTGAGGGGCCACATAACAAATAGGGACATTTTCCAGGCGATGTTAATTAAACAGTGAAAAATATTTTTCTCTGCTTCTGAGTGAGGCCGGCCTGATGGGTGACAGAGAGTACAAGAACAATGCCAGGCGCGATGCAGGGAACACAAAGCAACCAAAATGACATGACAAAAAATCCACACAGAACAGTCAACCTGATGTCAGTGAGAAGCTTGCAGACACAACAACAAATACTATGATGTAATTTGCATCAAAATACAAGGGGCTGTATGGAGAGTTTACCTGCTTCACAATGTGCTCATACCCACGCAACAGGTGTTTTAACTGCCAACAGCAGTGCAGCCTGCAAGAACACAGTGATGCATGGTTACAACTAAAATAATAAATAAAACACATTCAGTTTCTGCAGGGGCTTATAGTTGGACATACACCTCAATGGCATAACGTTACTTACTTGAAATTTGGGGGGTATCAGTTTGTACAAGGAGCATGATTTCTAACATCAACATGTCTGGGCTAGATATCTTGTAAAGAGAAGGTGAGATGATCATTTATACCTGGCCCGTTTAACTTGGCGATCTGGTGGTAGCAGTATTCTCATTCTGAAGTCTCGTTCCTGTGAGAACCACAACATGCCAGACACAAAACAATTTTAGAAATAAAACTGAGCAGTGTTAACAGTCAGGAGTGCTAACGTTAGCCAGCTGCATTATTTAATAACCTTAATTTTACTTACTCAAAAGAAGAGGTGCACTTGACCTGCCAAACTTTAATATAAAGGTCTTATTGGCAATCTGCACTGTGAATCAACACTATCAACTCTTCAGTTCAACAAAGACCATAACTTTACAAAGCAAGAAATAAATATATTTGAATATTAACGATACTAGTAACGTTGACTAACACGTAGTAAATGAGCGTTAAAATCAATTATACAAGTTTTAGGAGGACTAACTTGTTAACGTTTGCCAAATAACGTTAAGCCAGCGGTTCGTAGAGATTCACCAAATGTTTAACGTTAAGTTCCATTCTACCAAGCATGTCATTCGATGGATATATTTAGAAAGTAGATTGGAGACTCGTTATTTGAAGAATAACGTTACCTCACTGACACATTAACTTACTTGGACTGTGATGAAGCCGTCATAGACAGTTTTCTCCTTGTTAAGAGGTAAAAGCAGTGGGCTGTCTTTTACCAGTGAACTCTCCATCGCTTAAAGTTTAACTTAACGTTAGTCAAACCTCCCGACAACTTAAGGAGGGCTGCTTCCTTAAAGTTAGCAAGCCTGACAGGAGAGACTAGCAGTGACTTTTTAAAGTACTCGGAAGCAAACCACACATTTAAACTTAGATATGTCAATTATGAGTGCTAAGTCGCTGAACATAGGACAACGTCTCTCGGTTTTCGCCAGGACACACAGTTCGCAAACTCGAGGCTTCCTTCCAGAGACTTCAGCCCCACATCCCGCCATGAAAAACAAATCAGGCTACGTCGACGTCACACGGCTGCCTTCAGGGACTATGAAAACATCGGAATTTCAACGGAGACCCTTGCTGGTGTTACGTTTAAAAGTCTATGTGTGTAAATGATTTCTACGTTCTTCTCACATGCTTGTATAAGTTTCCTTTACTCATCGGCCTTTTACTAGGCTTACTTTTTACATTGTCCTCTGCTCAGGTTATTACTGCATGGGTTAGAGCGCAGGTTGTTCCTGAAAGGAGAAGCTGTAACTGAAAGCTGACTGAAAGATGAATAGCGACAGCCCAGTCAAACTATTCATGATATGTGATATCAGGTAAAAGCAGAATAAGCTTGCTTGTGGCCTAAAGCTATGAAACTGCAATAGAATTAAGATATTAATAGGATAAAGAGCTATTTTGCTCATAACAAAGGGATATAGATTTAATTCCAAATACTCATACTCATTGAGGTTTTGTAGGTGTCATCTTCAGTTTATAAATGTCTCTCATTAAATGTCTTTCTCACTTCTGTCTCACTTTCACCTTTCTTGTTTTTAGAATAATGTTGTAATTAAACTGACAACCCACTTTAGTGCGTGGTACAGCTATGGAGAATGATTCCCATCCAAAAGTATTTGTATTTGTATTTTTAATTTAAATAATTGACATAACATATGAGTTTGAAAGAGTTTGTTGAACAGATAACTAGGATACAGGTAGCATCCCCTGCAGCACAGAGACAGCAGAATCCTACTAAGAAGCTTTGGAAAGCGGCTTGCTATTCTTTATCAGAGACAGGGCAGTTAATTTGATGTACATTTGCCAAATCAACAACTAAGTCTTCAGTCTTGAGGATTTAGAGCCGAGTGTCCTCTTTCCCCAACTCTCTCTTTGCAGACCATGAAGCCACGTTCCTACACTTTTCAATGGCAAGCATCCAGGACTGTCTCATCCACAGTGTGGGGTAGGAACAGGCAAGGAGGAACCAGTTTTGGTGTTTAATGACACACTGTCTCTCTATGTTACCCTGTCTCATCACATGAAGTGGCCATCATGACACCCAGCAGCAAGGTGCAACTCAGCCAGCTACATCTTACTGTACCATACACTACAGGTTGCTGCTATACACCTACTCTGATTCATCATACAATAGAGCGGAATCTAGCTATCTAGCTGAGAAAATGGTTAGCAATATGACTTGATTAAAATAAAATGGCAAGTTTAGACAACTAATATCATAATTGTTTAGTTGGCATTGGTATTCATTTGGAGTAGTGCTTCTGGCGACCTAAAGAATTTAGTAGCCACTGTCCTTTCATCTCTGTTTTATGATCTCCACCAGTTCCTTTAGCTGCTAAATGCTCCACTAGGTTCACCAGCTAGCCGCTAACTTGGTCTGTCTGCGCTGGGGCGGTAGTGTACAGTGGGTTTGTCAGAGCTTTTTTTGTGAAAACAACACCTGCTGCTGCCAGAAATGGGGTTCATGAGAGTGGTGAGAGTAAATTGAAAGTGTAATGTTAAAACAATGACCTGAACGATGCTAAAAAGTTCTGCAGAGCTGAGGGTACCTGCCGAGTTGACGATAATTCTCTGTGGGTTCTTCAGTAAGAGGGACACCTTTCACATCACACATGATACTTTTTTCGATTGATATGAAAAATATTGATTAATGCACCGTTTTTTGATTCAGTCTCAACTTGATCTTGACAACGCTCAGACTCGTCTCAGACTGCATGGCTGCAGCCCTGCTATTTAGCATTAACCTATAGGTTCTTGTTTGGGCTAGAGAGAACATTCGTATGCACAAAAACACAGTACAGGAGGTATAAAGTGATTTAAAGCGGGAAAACAAATCAAACGGACACCTTATGATTCTGGCTAGTGCTTATTGTCTGTCTCAAACTTGCATCCATCAGCCAATGTCCTCCCTTAATCAGTGTGCATAAAATTGCCTCAACATATGGCAAATGGAACTCTGGAGATATAGCAAATTCCCATTCTAACCCAATCAAAACATGATTACAACAAAAGCACACTCCAACAATGCACACTTGTCCTTCAGTTTTCTTTTGAGCCCATATTCATTTGTGGAGCTGTGAGGAGAAAATAGGAATGTGTGATTATACTGTATAGAGCTGGTGAGGGGAGTGTGTCAAAGCGTGCATGCCACACAATGTGCCTGGAGAGATTGATGTTTTTGTCATCCACCTGCTTCAAAGCTGTAAAAAGCCGGCTGATGCAAATAGAGAAACCTAGCCAGGCAGGCTCACAAACAAAGGAGGGAGAACCTCACTGCTCCTCTTTGCACATCTGTTTTGGAGGAATATCTGAGGTTTCTGTTGTGACGCACACTGGGCTCAAATGAACACTGAATCTGAGTCTAGCGTCTGGGAGTGGGTAAGTGTTGAATGCCTTTTTTGTTCTCTTAGGGAAATGGGAACAATTTAAGGCTTTTTGTTTTGTTTTTTGAATACGATGCATCGGCACAGTGGCAGTGGGAGAAGTAAGCAGCAGCAGCAGCAGCAGCAGCACTCTTCCCTCCCTCTTTCTCTCTCTTTCTCTTTGGCTCACTCTCTCGCTCTTGTCATGGAGAGCAAATCTGCAGGCGGGCAGCACGGCCGGCTTTAATGGCATTCCAGTTGCAAACAGGGCGTCAAAAATGTAGCATCAGAGGATAGCAGAGGGGCAGATGCATATAGGCGGTGAGCTCTCTGTCGTCTTCTGTCTCTGTCTGCTTCTCCTTCTCTGTCTGTCTGACCGCTCTCCCTTCCGCTGCCTCCAGCGCCGGGCTCCGTCTGGGAGAGGAATGATCTATGGTGCTTTGTTTATCACTGGCCATGGTCACTTCTCTGGAATGCAATTGGCTGGAACTACACCGTGTGGGTCCTGCACCCTGCGTCTCTCTCTCCCTCTCTCTCTCCCTTCCTCTCTCTCTCTCTCTCTTTGAAGCAAGACATGAGCAGGGGTGCCTTGTCCGTTGTGCCTTTTTATCTCTCTCTCTCTCGTTCTTTTTTTCCCTTCTTTGTGGCGTTTTGCATGCATCTGAATGATAATGGGGCATATTGTTCCGTGGACCAGTGATTGATTGAATGGCTTGACAGCAAAATGTGTTACAGACATTCAGGAATTTGTGCATGCCCAGTTGTAAATTATCTTTTGTCCCTTTGAAAACCATTTTGAATATGCACTTTGTCTTTTATTTATTTTTTGTGTTTTTTATGTTGAATCTGAATAATATATTGCATGATTTTCTAACCGCAGTGGGAGGGTTTGCAGCCTATACTCTCATTTCTCTCTCAAGAAACGAATTTCTACAAGCCAGATTTTTGTGTTCTTATTAGACAAAGAATCTTCTGTAACATTTGTCAAAAATCGAGCAGACACACAGGCACTCAATATGTGTTCTCTCTGACAAGAAACACACACACACACACACACACACACACACACGTTGTATATATATATATATATATATATATATATATATGTAATCCAGATTTGAAGTTTCGATTTTTAAGGATCCATTTCAACTCTTTTTTTAAAGCATCTTTAATGCTCAACAATGAACAACATTTTCATGTTTATACTGATTCTTCCTTTATATAATTTACTGTAGAATATCTACAAAGACAAATTCAGTGAAGCAGCCACCAACTATCTCTCCAAGTATGTTTATGAGTGTGTGTATGTGTGTGTGTGTTTCCAGATAAGTGGGAGCGCAGTGTGTGAAGTCTTGGCCGTGGATTACAGGCCTCACAGATAGGCTTGTATCCAGACTGCTGTCTGACGTGAGTTGATGGGATTACAGGAGGCGGGCGTCTGTCCTTCCATCCCCACCCACCCACCCCATCCCTCACTGGGTGGAGGAGACATTAGGTGGAACTGGGGGTCACTGTGTGTGTGTTTGTGTTCTGACGTTAGCGTTAGACAGAATTAAACCATTGATGCTGAAACTATAATTTTGATTTAGGCTGTGAATGAAAATGATACTTTATGCAACTTTCAAGTCAAGTACACTTGACTGCATTTACTGGAGGTGCAAAATGAATACAAAATAAGACATGCATGCTATGTGACGTTTTGCTTTGATTTTGACACAGGTCAAAATCTGTTTAGTAACTCTCACCTCTCATTGTATTGTACTTGATTAATTTCAGCTTCCCTGGCCCTATTGCAGATTTTTCAACTATTGTGTAGAACTGACACAATTAGTCGATTAATTGATCAGTTGATCAACAGAAAATGTTTTGAATTTGATTTATTGGCAAGTTTGTTTAGTCAACCAAAAATTCAAAAAAGGTTCCAGCCTCTTAAACATTGAAATGTGCTTCAGTGCGTCTTATATTATGTCAAACTGAATATTTGGTGGTTTTGGACATGTGAAGACATCCCCTTGGGCTCTCAGAATGTGCAACGTGCATTTTTCACTTTTATGACATTTCATGGATTAAATGATAAATTGAAAAAACCTTCAACAGATTCATGGATAGGGAAAGTAATTAGCTTCAGCCTTATTATTGAGACTGATTATTTATAGTCTCAGCCTACTTTGTGTGTATTATTGTGTTTAGTGTGTTGGTTTGGTAGCAAAGCATTTAGAGGCCTATAAGATCAACACAGCCAGCATTGGAGGAGTTTCCTGAGAAAAAGGACATTGTATGTACTTCCACTCACTCTTTGAATTCAACACTCTATTTTATTTTTACCCTTATCCATTATACCTCAATGGACTCATTACAATCACAGATAACTTTATCTATTGATACCATCCAGATCATTTCATAATCTACGCCAGGGCTCGTCTCCACGAGGCGGAAACCAAAACGCAACGATACGGATGCAATGCAAGTCCACTTGAGCTGATTAGTGTGTGAAGTGTGCTTGTTATATATCCAGCCCTCACGCTTGATCACTGCTCGTGCTTTACTACCAGCGGCTGTGTACCGAGACGCTGATGGGATCTGATGTGTCCGGTGACTAATGGAAATTGGGAAATATTAGCAGCTCCTGTTTTGAAAACAAGACATTTAAAAGAAAATT